CAGGGGCACACACCACGAGTCCTTGAACATTGCACAGGCCCACCAACCACCAACCTCCACATGTCCCCGACCCCAACTTGCTGCTCCTCCCATGTTTCTCATTCGGCCCTTTCTTGGTTCATTTCATTGATTTACATGAAATTCCTTCAGAGTTGGTTCTTTGTCAAAAACCAGGTGTTTGGTGATGGACAACCCTTCCAGGGAGCTCTCAGTCTCCACCTCATGGACAAGGTCGAGGCCCAGGGCAGACATCCCCTCGGGGTATAACTCTAGATGTCCCCTGTTGAACTGTCCTCCACCCCACCAATGTCCTGTCTGCTCCTCCAGTCTCTCCTTGTGACAGCCAGCCCCTCAGCAGGGAACTGCAGGCCCTTTCCCCTAGGGGGCCCCGGGATGCTGAGGGTGCAGGGGTAAGGTCAGGGGAGATGGGCTCCCTTTATGAGAAACCAGAACTGGAAAGGAGAAGGGTGGGTCCGAGCTTGGGGGACCTGCCCCAGATGGGGCTGGGTGAGCTCTGGGACCACAGGTCTCACCAGAGGGAAGGGGAGGGCAGGCCTCAGAGGGTGGGAGATGGAGCTCTATGCTTTGTTGCCTGCAGGCTTTCCCATCTTCCTGGTGACGTTGGTGGCACTGGTGGATGTGAACAACTACGGCCCCATCATCCTAGCTGTGCACAGGACCCCAGAGAGTGTCATCTACCCTTCCATGTGAGTGGCTTGTGCAGTGGGGGCAGGAAGGTGGGCCTCATGGTGCAGAGGTCAGAGAGTAGCCTGGGCCCAGGTCACGCTGACCAGGAGACTCCTGGGTGCCAAGCTGCTGGAGGTATTGGGGTGACCCTTTTCTCAGGGAGGGTGAGAACGGGCCTGGATCTGCCAGTCACTTGCCAGATGACCTTGCACAGGTCCTAGCCCCTCTCTGGGCCTCAGTTTCCCCACTTGCGAGTGGGAGTATGGGTTGGAGCAGCTGAGCCTCCAGCATGTTCCTTTGCTGCACCCTTCTGTCTTCTTCCCATGGAAAAATGGAAAGGCCGAGGCCCAGAGAAGGCAGGAATCCACACCACGCTGCTCCAAGGCACCCAGCTGCGGGACGAGTGGGGCTGAAATCCAGTCCTCCTCCACTCACCTAATTCACCCAGGCTGCTGGTGGCCTGGCCTGTGTGTCCCCCTGAACCAGACTAGAATCCAGGGCTCCTGAGCCCTAGGCTAGGAAGGAACCCTTTCCATTCCTTCAATGTTTGGAAAATTTCAGTTGATTTTGCCTCACTTTGTGCCATCTGTATTATTATTTGTTTAATATTTTTCTTTAAATCATCTGGCTTGTTAAATGTATTTTTAAAAAAATCATATCAACTATAAATGGGAAATAAGCATTACTTGTCATAAACAGTGAGTAGTCATGAAAGCAAACACAGGAATAAGGAAACCCTGGTACTAAATTCTTGATGAAAGCAGCGAGCCTAAAGTCTGGCTTTTTTTGAAGAGGGAGACTAGCAAGTGTTAGAAGTGTTAAAAACGTTTTAGGACCAAATTAAGTCTTTCTCTTGACTACAGAGAAGGAATAAAGGAGAATTGAAAGGAGAGCGGCTTTTTGGCCCTGGAGTCAGTGGTGTTTAAAGCAGCTGCCCTGTACTCGGGCTCACTGTGGCGCTTGCCCAGGGCCCAGGAAGCACCGTGCCAGCCCGGCCTTGCAATGAGCCTTCGTGCCCTTGCCCATAGGTGCTGGATCCGGGACTCCTTGGTCAGCCACGTCACCAACCTGGGCCTCTTCAGCCTGGTGTTTCTGTTCAACGTGGCCATGCTGGGCACGATGGTGGTGCAGATCGTGAGGCTGCGCCCACACGCCCAGAAGTGGCCCCACGTGCTGACCCTGCTGGGTCTCAGTCTGGTCCTCGGCCTGCCCTGGGCCTTGGTCTTCTTCTCCTTTGCTTCTGGCACCTTCCAGCTTGTGGTCCTCTACTTTTTCAGCATCATCACCTCCTTCCAAGGTAGGCATGGAGAAAACCCCACCCCCTGGCCCAGGCAGGGTGCCCATACATAGAGAACAGACCAGGGAAGGGATGACCCAGATGACCTGAAGGGCCTTCTTTGGACCTCAGCCTTCCCATTCGTAAAATGGGTGCATCCAGGCCATAGTTGACAAGTCTTTGTTGAGTACTTATAGTGCACAGGCCCTGTGTTAAGCCCTAGTGCTGCAGTTGTGAACTGGTCGGGCAAGGGCCTTTTGCTTCCACAGAGCTCATCTCTACTGGGAAGGCCAAATGTGACAAGCAAGGTCGCAGACATCAAAAGGCATCTAGGAGAGGAGGGAAGTAATAGTGGGCAATGTGATGGACAGTCTGAGTTTGGGTGGGGGACACTTGGGGGAGGGAAGCCTCTCTGTATAGGAGACATTTGAAGACAACAGAAGGATCCAGCCATGGAGAGATCAAGAGCCCGTTACTCCAAGCGTGTTTCTCAGACCAGCAGCATCAGCATTGTCAGGAGCTTGTTACAAACACAGACTCTGGCCCACCCCAGACCTGCCGAGTCAGAATCCTCCTTGTAACAGACGCCCAGGGGATGCAGCGCACGTTACAGGCTGAGGAGACCTGGTCTAGGGGTGGAGTGCTCCAGGCAGAGGGAGAAGCATGAGCAAAGGTCCTGAGGCTAGAACTAGGTTATGTGTTGGAAGAATAGTGAGGAGCACGGCTAAGGAATAGTGAGGCAGGGGAGCGGGGGGAGGGGAGGGGAGCAGAGGGGCTGGATCATGAGGGCCTGGCTTGATGCCATCAGGGTCCCTTCCTGCTCTACCTGCACCCCTCTACCCCCGCCCCCCAACATCTCACACACACACACATATACACACACACCTACCTTTGTTTTTGGCCATGCTGGGTAGGGAGGAGGCCTTGCCTTCCCTGTTTTCCTGCCCAAGTCCTCCCCATTGCCTGGGGTCCCCATGCAATGGGAGTGGTGTGTGAGGGAGGTGAGTCTTTGTTTTCTCATCTGTGAAGTGAGGGGGACTCTGTAGGGATTGTAAACGATGCCCATAAACTCACACATTTGCTGAGCTATTAATAAATCACAGTATTACGATTTGGGGAGGAGCATGTCACATGGTACTTTAGCAGGTGGGCTCTGGAGACTGACCACTGCTGCTTGACTCCTGGCTCAGCCAAGCCCCTTATCTTCATGGGCCTCCGTCTCCTCATTTGTAAAACAGAATAGTAATGATGAGGTCTGATCTCAAGGAACCTGGAGAGAATAAAGTGAGATGATGTACAGGGCATTGCCCAGTGCCTGGCGCATAGTAGGTGCTCCGGGGATCACATCGGTGTGGGGAACCTGTGTAGGGAGGAGGACAGGGGCAGATCTGGGTCAATGGAAGGGAGCGAGGTTGGGCTGGGGCTGCCCCCAGCCTCTGAGCCCTGTGCCCCCCACAGGCTTCCTCATCTTCCTCTGGTACTGGTCCATGCGCCTGCAGGCCCGGGGTGGGCCCTCCCCTCTGAAGAGCAGCTCGGACAGTACCAGGCTCCCTATCAGCTCGGGCAGCACCTCGTCCAGCCGCATCTAGGCCGCCAGCCCCCCGCCGATGTGAGGAAGCAGAGTTGCGGTCTCTCTTCACTGCTGCTCGCGGCCCCTGCAACCAGGCCAAGCCAGCCAGAGACTTGAGAAGGCCCAAGGACCTCGGAAGGATGGGGCTGTTGCCATGGCAGCCAGATTCCCAAGCTGGGCCTTCTGAATTGGCCGGGGGGCTACTTGCCTCTTGGGTCCAGCTCAGGGGGCTCAAGGCTGGTCTTAATGCACCACCACTGGACTGGCCCTCACGGCTGGAATCTGCAGGCCTTGGACCTTGGAGGCTGGTGGCATCCTTGGCCCTGTGCCCCAGCCCAGGACAGGAATGTGCCATAGCTGTTCTGTCTCTGGTGATCACCATGAGAGCACTCTGTAGCCCCTGTCATTTTAATCTAAGGATGGCCCGCAGGGGAAACGAGTTGGGGCAGAGCTTTGAGCCAGACCCCTGGAGGAGGAGCATTCCCTCCCTGGAGCATAATGACAGCCCAGGGAGGGAGCCGGGCTGTCGTTATGCTGGCCCTCTGAGCCCAGGGCCATCACCCTTTGTCAGCCTCCCCAGCCCTCCCTCTCCCCTTCCTGGTCCTCCCTCTCCTCGGACCTCCTTAGGCCTCCACTCACAGCCCAGAGTCCCCGATTCCAATGCTGGATTTTGGGTAGTGGTTCCCAAGAGCTACCTGGTGCCTACTGTAAACCTTTATCTACTGCATGGGCGTTTGCCTGCCCCTGACTTGGCTTAGTATAAACGTTCTGGGCTGGGCTAGGCCCATCTTCCCATCTGGCCCTCTCCACAGCTGCATCACCCTAGCTCACCACTGCCAAGCCGACACCTCACAGGGGCCCGCAGCCTCTCCCGAAGCCCTCTTGTGGCAAGAACTGTGGAACGTAGCAGTCCAAATTTGTTTCCACCCCAGCATTCCAAAGACTGAGACACGCCTCCCCGGTGATGCTTGTAGAGCCTGACATGCTCCGTAGAACCCCTGCAGATGATCTTGAGCACACCTCGCAGCCCATCACGGTTAATTCTGTTGGACACAGGTGGCCAGACCTGGTCGCTTCCCCTGCGAGCTCTCAGTCTAATGTGGGAGGCATGCATGAGACAAGAACTCTTAGAGGTACAGGCACAGGGTTGGGGGAGCCCTCATTCCTGGCTGGGACTCCAGGAAGGCCTCCTGTAGGAGGCAGCATTTGATCTGGCTCTCAGCCTTAAAGATGGGGAGGATTTTCTTTGTAATTACCAGTTCATTTGTCTTTTCATATTAAAAAGAAGTCCGTGTTCATCGTAGAGAATTTGGAAGCTGTAGAAGAGTACATAGAAAAAATAAAAATCAGCTGTTATCGCCTAACCAACCGCGGCAAGAATTTCCTTCTGAGCTTTTTCCTGTGCTTCTCTTAAGAATCAATGATAAAAAACACCTGGGGGCCAATCAGAAAACATGAACAAGAGAAGAGGGCCATGTGTGAAAGACATCTGCTGGAAACGTTGTCAGGGCAAAGGCGGGGCGAGGAATGGCAACTGGGTGTCAGTGCTGGGGGAGCTGCGCGTGGTCTGTGGTGAACTGAAGGTTACGAGCCCCACACAGAGAATGCAGCTGCTGCTCCGCTGCAGCCGGTCGCCACCTCGGACGGATTAAGGCCTGTGTAGCCAGACTGCCTGCCTTTTATGACAGATAAGAAATCCAGATTGTGCTGGTGTAAAATCCCCTGATTTAAAAAAAACTTGGCTAATCCAAAATATTCTCTGGTCAAAGAAATCACGTCTGAGGGCTGAATTCAGCCCTTGGCTGGTCGCGGGACCTGTGTAACCGGTTTATTGCCCGGTGTGAAGTGGATGGGCTGCAAGAATGAAACGACTGGACTTTTCTGCCATCGCTGCCTTCAAACTTGTCCCGGCAAATTTCCCCCTCTCCATCCTGTGACACAGGTGAGGCAGGTCAAATAAGTTTCTGTCCCCCTTCAGTTATGGGAGCAGTCTTGTTCGATCACGGCTCTCTGTGTCCAGGTCTAAAGGTCCAGCACAGGTCCAGCCCAGGCCCACACCTGAGCCTTCTGCCCCTGCAGTCTCCTCCCTCCTCTCCTGGCTGCTCTGGGGGGAGCGCAGGCTGGGGAAAGAGGCAACTCTCTGGAGTTGGACGGGAGGGGTGTGAAGTGCCTTGGTGGCTAGGAGTGGGCTGGCAGTGGTGTGATGAGCGTGAATGTGGGATCTTTGGGGACCTGCAGGGACTTCGGCACATGGGAGCCCCCTGCCCCCTGCCTCTCTCCCAACCCCTCCTCCTGCTGCTTCCATTGGCCTCTGCCTCCACCTTCTCCAGGTGGTGGGCTCCTCTTGTGCCCCAAGCCCTGAGGACAGAGGACAAACCTTCCCCACAGTGTCCCGGTTGAGCAGCTGGGTGGGATCAGAGCCAGCTCCGCTCTCAGAGACCTCTCTCGGGTCTCTTGGACCCCCATCACTTGCCTAGACCTGAGGGGATACCTACCCCATCTTCAGGGAAGGAAGGGACCCAGCCCCCTCCCCTGGGCAGGTGGGACTCCCCTCAAATTCTCCCACTTCAAAGCACTCTCTTGACACCTAGTTTCTGTTTCCGAGGGCAGCTCAGGTAGTGGGGCTGGGGGGCTGGGTCGGGTCCCATCCTCTCGTGACCCGCTCTGCACGGGCCACCTGACAGCTCCGTGGTGCTCCTTGACACTGATGGTTCATATCATGCGCTTCTCTGGGCTGTGGGACTTTGGACAATAGGACCACTCTTCCCACCAGGACGTGGCCAGGTTTGTTTCCCCTTTGGAGTGGGGAATGGATTGGAGTGGCCAGGGTGTGAGTGCTGGCCAGGCCTGGCCAGAGTACCGGAGGCCTTGCACCTGGAGACAGGTGCCCACCTGGAGCTGTATGGACAAGCTGGGAGTGGGAAGTGGCAGAAGGGGAAGGTTTCTCCTGGAATTTAGCGGTCCCAGGGCTCCAAGTGGCCCCAGGCCAGTCCCCAGCCCCCGTGGGGCCCAGGAGAGGTGGCCCTCCCTCCAGCTCTGCCGGACCCTCCCTTGCCACTTTGCCAGTCCCCAGTTCTGTCTTCCCAAGTGTGCTGCACACGATCTGGGTCCTGGTCTGCAGGTCTCCAGCCTCTTCATTACAAACAGGCATCCATGAGCCCCTCTGGAGGGCCCAGGGGCCGGGTGGGTCTCCAGTGGTGGGCCTAGCAGGTCACAGTTCACAAAGCCGTCCACCCTCTCCCCTTGCCGGGACATGCGGCTGGGTGGGAGGAGGGGCATTCACCCTCCCAGCCTTCCCTGCAGAGGAAGTGCCTGGGGCCCATGTCAGATTCCCACCTGCCGCCCAGGCCCCAGGAGTGGCCCTGACCCTCCCCAGGCCCAGAGGGCCTAGCAGGAAACTGAGTCCTGTCCGGACACTGTGTGGGAGGAAGGGGAAATAGAGGCCAGTCAGGGCTGGGCGGGTCCCCATTAGACCCCAGGGTGGAGAAGGGCCAGCTCTGACGGTGTGGCCCTGAGAGCGGATGCCGGTGATGATGTACTTCCTTGGCAGAGCGCCCTTCACCTTCTGACCTCGAAGTAGCCGGCCAAGGGCCCTGGCCTCATCCACATGGCTTCCTTGGGGCCACCACAGTGGGGGCCTCGGTGGTCAGCCCTTCCCCTGCCTACATACTGCACCCCATATGTGTTTGCTGCCCCACTTCCCGTCTGGGCCACCATTGACCCGCTGGTGATGGTGATGCTAATTTCACAGTACTGATAATCATGATAGTGATAATAATGGCCACGCTCACTGACTGAGCAATTCCACAGGCATCATCTCATGAGTTCTCCCCATGCCTCCTGAGAAACTTGCCTCCTTAGCAGAGGTCGGCTCACGCAAACGGGCCGCCAGGAAGTGGCCAGGACAGATGTCAGCCCAGGCCCGACCAACCCCCAGGGCCCACGCTCCTGTCCCCTGCCATCCTGCCCCTCCTGTTATTCAGTCTGCTGGGTGGGAGGGGGGGCGGGGCCTCCAGGCCAGACTCCTCCTCTCCTTCCAGGACCCCAGCAGGCGTGGGCTTGAGCCTGGCCTTGTTCAAATCACAGGCATGAATGAGGGAGTGCGAACACTCCACATCTTCATCCGCATCCCTATAGCCAGGCCCTGCGCCCACCGGTCTCCTCAAACCCCAACACAGCCCTGGGGGGCAGCCGCACAGCTATATGCGCTTTACAGAGGAGGAAACTGAGGCTCAGAGAGGCCCCCAGCTTGTGAAAGGAGGATCTGAGGTAAGGGTTCCTGACTCCAAAGCCTGGGCTCGCCGTCACTCCCCAGGGGCCTGCTTGGGTGCAGAGGCCTCTGTGGCCGCTGAACCCCAGCCCTGCAGCACCCATCCCGATGAGGCCTTGGGAGCAGCATCCCTGGGTGGGTTCCGCAGCTCCTGCCGAGTCGGGCCCACTCTGCAGGTGGTCATGGGGCGGGGTGAGACTAGGAACACTGCCCGGTTGCACACACTCACCTTTCACAACCCAACCGATGGTGCCATGGAGCAGGAAGGGCGTGGGCGGGGCCACAGGAAGCGGCAACGCTGTGGCCACGGCGCGGGTTGGGGCCGGCTCGGCAGAGCCTGGGAGTTGCGGGACGTGCAGCTGCGGGGCTCCGGCCGGCGTGGACCAGGCTGGCCAGGGATGGTGACCCGCGGGGCCCTGGGAGTCCTGCTCCTCCTGCACCTGGCCTCAGGTGAGCAGCCAGCTCCTTACGCCCTCCGGCCAAGCCTGGGAGACCCAGGGCCGGGACACGGAGGGCGTGTCTGGAGCAGGTCCTCCGAGGAGCCCAGCTGACGGCCGCAGCACCTCCTCTGTCGTCGGGGTCAGTCCTGCTCTCCCGATAAACTTTGGTCAGCGCTGGTCTCAGGTCCCCTTTGCTTTCCCACAGCGCCCTGGAGATGGGAGAGCATCGGGGGTGCGCCCACACTTCGTCCCTCAGGCTGCGGCTCCCCGACAGGCCTGGCTCTGGGACACGGGTGGGCCCAGGACAAATTCTTCTCCAGCTGGCCTCTGAGCTCCAGGGGAAGGCGGCTGGGACCCTCGAGGCTGAGGCCAGGCCGGGCCTGCATGGCCCTCCCCGCACCCTGCCCACCCCCCTTCCCCGTCACGCCGGCTCCCCTCCTTGTCTCCTCAGCGGTCCCCTGGTCCTCAGTCACCCAAGCCGAGAACAAGGCCCTCCCTGACCCTTCGCTCTCAGCCTTGCCCACAGCCAGGCGGTGGTTCTCCAGAGGCAGCTCGAGGGCGCCAGGCCTGGCCCTTGCCGTTCCGCTCCCAAGAAAGCCGGCCCCACCCCTGGCCCACCTGGCCAGCTCTCCCTGGCGCTCTGTGCCATCTGCAGGGATGCCCTCGCGCAGAGGAAGCTGCGCCCTCCCTGTGCACCCATCTCCGAGCCTTGCCTGCTCCTGCTGTTTCGCTCTTGGTTCAGTGAATGGCCTGCGTGCCTGTCCCCCACCCCTGTGTGTGTCCAGCATGCGGTCACACGGCTTTGTGCGTACAGACCGACCTCTTTTTCGGGCTTAAAAAAACCCTCGTCTCGTCAAATGTTGGGAGATTCAGGGAAAAGCAAAGTTTAGTCTGTGGCTCCAAAAAGTGTGAAAAATGGCCGGGCCGTCCCTGCGGGATGGCGGCAAGACCTGATGGATTAATTAACTTCATAACCACTAGTGGCTCTTGCTCGATCTCATAAGGACCCTGGGCGCCTCACGAAAGATGTAATTTTCTGGTCGGGCCTTGAAGGCTCCCCCGAGTGATGGAGTTTACCCTATGGTGATGGGTTCTCTGGTTCAGCTGTTTAAACAGTGTGAGGAGCCCTGAGAGGTTTATGTCTAGAGGGAAGGCTCCTTTTTTTAAAAAAAAAATTAATTAATTAATTAATTTTTGGCTGCATTGGGTCTTTGTTGCTGAGCGTGGGCTTTTCTTTAGTTGTGGTGAGCAGGCTGCTCTTCTTTGCGGTGGCTTCTCGTTGCGGAGCACCGGCTCTAGGTGCGCAGGTTTCAGTAATTGTGGCACGTGGGCTCAGTAGTTGTGGCTCGCAGGCTCTAGAGCGCAGGCTCAGTAGTTGTGGTGCACGGGCTTAGCTGCTCTGCGGCACATGGGATCTTACCAGGCCAGGGCTCGAACCCATGTCCCCTGCACTGGCAGGCGGATTCTCAACCACTGCGCCACTAGGGAAGCCCGAGGCTCCTTCTTTTGTGGACATTTTGGGGCAGTTGCCATGTGTTCATTTTCTCTTTCATTCATTCATTCCAGAAGCGCTGGTGGAACCCTCTACTCAGTGTCAGGCGCTGTGCTTATATACCATGTGGTCCCTGCCCTCAAGGGACTCACAGTCTAGCAGAGTGATGGGATGCTTCAAAAGAGTCCGGGGCATGGTGGGGGCCCAGAGGGAAGCAGACACACTCTTTAATAAAGGGATACTTTACCAAGGACATGTCAGGGCTGGCACAAGGGACAAGAAGCTGTGGCTGTTGGGAGAGGGAAGAAGGCCACTGGTGGGGAGCCTTAGGGAGGGGCGAGTACTGCGCTGACCTCTGACCTCCTCACCCCCCCCCCCGATATGAACCCAGATTGAGGTGGTCCTTGGAGGCCAACCTCTGGGGCAGAGCGGGATGGAGAAGAGTAGGGTGGGTCTGGAGGGCCTCTCGCACACAGGCCTGGTTCAGGCTCTCCCTGTCTTGGCTAAATGCTTCTTCTAACGTCTTGCAAAAACGAAGTTTCATAATCTTCTCTGCACCAGGTACTTGCCAAGAGCTTCACAAGCCCAACGGCCCTTGTGAAATTTCATGGCAGGCCAGGAGGGAGGCTCTGTTAACACCCACCGAGTTGCCCCCTGCACCCAGCACCCATGTGTGACCCCTCAGGCATACAGAGGGCTGGGATTACAAAGAGGATGGTGCCTTCCCTGGAGCTGACAGCTTCCTCCCCCTCTCTGCTCTTCTTCCCTCTTTTTCTCTTTTTCTCTTTCTCCTTCCTTCCCTCTTCTTTCTGTCTTCCTCCTTTGTTTAAAAAGCAAACATGGATGTTATTATACACATGCTCATCCATCGTGTGATTTTTCCCATTAAACAACATGTTATGAATATCTTTACAGTCTAACAGAAAACTGAAGTTCCTTTACAAGCTACTTAAAACATTGTCACATATAGGGCTAATTATAAGATCCACTTGAAAATGTTATTTTTTTACCTACGTTTACCCTAACTTTGGTCTGCCATTATCTTTACCATGTATTTTATTTTTGTCTTAAAATTTAACTAGTTTCATTTAATGTGAAACTAATATTGTGCATAATTTTTTTTAAAAAATCAAACGCTGGAGAAGGGTGTGAAAAAATGAAAAGTAAATGTCTCCCTGCCCATTTCACCCACAGTTCCTGGTGGACCAGTCAGAAACATAAAGGTGCAGATTGTCAAGACCCAGCCCCACTGCTCCCATAAAGGGTACACTAAAGCAGTTCATGGAAAAAGACATACAAATAGATGCTCAAACTCCTTCTTAAATTAAAATGAAATTCAATTTTACCCCTCAAACTGGCAAAGATTTGAAAGTTTGGTAAAGTCTAGGACTGTGAACATGTGGGTAAATAGTCACTCTTGCCCACTTTTGGTGCGAGTGTAGCCTTTTTAAGAAGGAAATTCGATAATACTTAGCAATTTTTAGAAGTTCATACATTTTTTTTTTTTTTTTTTGCTGTACGCGGGCCTCTCACTGTTGTGGCCTCTCCCGTTGCGGAGCACAGGCTCCGGACGCGCAGGCTAAGCGGCCATGGCTCACGGGCCCAGCCGTTCCGCGGCATGTGGGATCTTCCCGGACCGGGGCACGAACCCGTGTCCCCTGCATCGGCAGGCGGACTGTCAACCACTGTGCCACCAGGGAAGCCCAGTTCATACATTTTGATACAGAAATTCCAAGGATAGGAATGTTTTCTATGAATTCTTAACATAAGCTGACAAAGATGTAAGTAGCGTTATTCAAAATAGTAAACGAAACAAAACAAAAACACCCTAAGTGTTCACCAACAGGGGACCAATTGAAAAAGCATAACAACACCCGTATACTGAAATAGTATGCAAGTATATAAAGAATGAGATGGGTATGAGCCCAGCTCAGGTTCACACAGTTAGCGTAGATGGGTGGAGCTGGGGTTGTAGTCCACACCACCAGACTCTGGAGCCTGAGCTCCCCTACCCACTGCCTCCCCATGCAGCCCATTCACACTTTGCATCCCTCTCTTAGATCAGAAGAATTCCACAACCATGCATGAGGAGTCAAGACAACCCTGCAAAGGACTCATCAATGCAAACCGATTTGACGACTTCGGCCTTGAGGACACTGCTAAGTGCTTCTCAGCATGTGCACAGTCAGGGAATGAATCCTGCAATCTGGGAAACTTGCAGAGGTAAAGGCCCCTCTGAGATGGAGAAGGAATCTGGGGGCTCTGGCAGGGGTGGAGTAGGGAGGCTGTTAAGAAGGGATGGAGCTATCAGCCCTTTTGGACCCAGAAAATGCTGCTCTCATCTCACCTTTCCACCTTGTTTGACACCCACATTCCCCCTGACCACCAAGACCCTATGATCTAGGGGATGCAGAGGTGAAATTAGCCCCTGTCCCTGTCATTGGGAGTTGTGGAGGGAGAGACATGGCCCCAAATGATGGTGATTCTAGAGTGTGATCATACAGAGGGTAGACAAGGCACCAGGTTAGCTCAAAGGAGGGAAATCTGCTAAGGCTTCACAGATGAGGCCACCCATGTACGGGTTTTGAAGGCTGCATAGGAGATTTCCCATTGGACTCAAGCAGTGTTAGGGGATACAGGGAGAACTACAGTGCTTTGAACTGTGAAAGAGTAAAGTGCTGGGGATGGAGGCAACAATGGGGAGGTTGGGTGGGGGGGTTGGACTGGAAATCTAAGCAGGGACCAAAGTGTGAAGGGTTGTGTAAACTATACCACTGCGGGAGGGGGCAGGGCAATGATATATTTTAAATACAGGAAGAGCATAGTCAACTTTGCATTTTTAGAAAGATGGCTCAGGCTTCAGGGAGTATATGAGGGTGGTGATGTGACAAGAGACGTGAGCAGGTAGGATGCAACTGTGGTGGTCTGGGTAAGAGTGAGGGCTGAACAACCACCAGCACCACCACCAATTGGCACTGTGTACCTGGATAGGAGGGACGGGTCAGAGACATTGAATGATGTAGAATCAGTGCGATCAAGAGACTGATAAGACCAAGAGACCAAGAGATACTGGATTAAGGGAGAGGAAGGGGTTTGGAATACAGCATCTCCAAGAGTCACCTTCAAAAGATCTTTGCCTTTCACCCCTCCTCTCCCTTCCAATCAGAGTTACCCACCCTCTTCTGGGATACTCAGGACAGGCTTGTATGCACTCAGTATATATTTGTTGGAGAAAATGAGTGAAAAGTTTATGTTCTCAGACTTGGTGTTAGCACAACAATCTGATTGAGTGCCATCACTTCAGTGGCCTGAAAAGGCAGCCATGAGTACCTGCAGCTGCTCCGGGAGCTTCGGATCTCCAAGCAGCTGTTCAGGAGGCTCCTCTTTGTGCTGCCTTATGGAGGGCTTAAACACCTTGGGGAAAGTAGGAGCTCTGACATCAGAAGATGTGGACTTGGTTCCCAACTCTATCACTTTACCAAGTTATCTCCTTTACCTTTACAACCCTGTGAGGTAGGTCCTGTTATCAACCCTTTTTTCAGATAAGAAAACTAAGGCTCCCATAGGTTAAATAACTTGCCCACGTTACACAACAGGTAGGTAGCAAAATCAAACATGAACCTAGGTCTGGAGGGCAGTAGGGGAGGTGTACAGTAATACAGACTAGGGTCAGACTGGCAGTGCTCAAAAGTGGAATTGGACTTTGGACAGGTTAACTTTCAGTTTCCTCATCTGTAAAATGGGGCCGAAATAACACCTGACTTGTAGAATTACTGCAAAGATTAAATACATAATTCAGACACGTTAGCTGTTATCATTATCTTACCAGCATTGTCATTTCATTACTGTTGCAAAGCCTTTATTCTTGATCTCTCTCCTATACCTTCCTCCTGGGGTGGTTGTTGAGATTAAAGGAGATTATGCATGGAAAAGTTATTAGCAAATAATAGGAACTCAATAAATTTGAGTGTTCTTTATTTTAATGACTCTTTCTGATTATAAAAGTAATTTTATTTATTTTTTTAATAAAACTATTTTATTTATTTATTTTTGGCTGCATTGGGTCTTTGTTGCTGCTTGTGGGCTTTCTCTAGTTGCAGTGAGCGGGGGCTACTCTTCGTTGTGGTGTGCGGGCTTCTCATTGCAGTGGCTTCTCTTGTTGCGGAGCACAGGCTCTAGGTGTGTGGGCTTCAGTAGTTATGGCACGAGGGCTCAGTAGTTGTGGCTCTCAGGCTCTAGAGCGCAGGCTCAGTAGTTGTGGTGCATGGGCTTAGCTGCTCCACGGCATGTGGGATCTTCCCAGACCAGGGGTCCAACCCGTGTCTCCTGCATTGGCAGGCAGCTTCTTAACCAGTGTGCCACCAGGGAAGTCCAGTAATTTTATTCTTCATAAAATATTTAGAAAGTAGCTATAAGAAGGAAAGTGGAAAATTCCCCTTCTTACTATCCAGAGATAATCATTATTTTCATTTTGGTATATTTCTTTAGATAGATAGATAGACAGATATGGATGGATATAGATAGCTATAGATATATCACATACATCATTTATCCATTCTACTATATTGATGGATAGTAACATTTGGGTGGTCTCCAGTTTCTGGCTTATACAAAGAGTGTTGCTGTAAATATTTTTGTTCGTGTATTTTGGTGAATGTATGTATTTCTGTAAGGTATATTCCTAGGAGTGAAATTGGTGGGTCATAGGGCAGGCATGTGATTAGCTTTAATAGAAACTGCCTAACAGTTTTCCAAAGTTCTTGAACCAAATTTCACTCCCACAATCAGTGTATGATAGTTCTAGTTGCTTCACATCCTTGTCAACACTTGGTATTGTCTGCTTTTTCATTTTAGCCATTCTGGCAAGTTTGTACTGTATCATATGGTGATTTTAATTATATTTGCCTGATTAAGTTTAACTTAATCTTTCATATATTTATTAGACATTCTGATATCCTCTTTGTGAAATGGCCTTTTAAGTCTTTGGCTTCTTTTATGGGGTTGTTTGAATTTTTCTGAGTGATCTTTAGGGGTTATTTATATATTCTGGTTACATGTCTTTGCAAATAGATACACATGAATATGTTCTCCTTCATTGTGGATTGCCTCTTCATTCTCTTAGCGTTGTCTTTTGACTACAGGCAGACATTCTTAATTTTAGCATAGTGTAATATACCAGATTTTAACTTTATAGTTAATGCTTTGGGGTCTTATTTAGGAGATGTTTGCATCCCCAGGATCATGAAGATACTCTTCGATGTTTTCTTCTCAAAGATTTATTGCTTTATCTTTCACGTTTGTCTCTATGATCCACTGAAAGAAAGTAAAATACTGTGGAAAACTCTTTACTTTTCAGAATTTTCGGCTTAGCTAGTGCCTCTCAGACTATGGAGTCTCACAATTCTGAAAAATGTCTGGAGGAGAAATCAGCTGTACATTTGAGACCCTTTGAGTGCCCAGGTTTATTTCTTCACCTTCTGCACCACCCCAACACCACCACCAAGACCACCAAATGCCCTGTTTATACTTGACAAAGCACTCTTGTGCCTGTTTGCAATCCAAACCCAGCCACAGTCAACCACTGATCTGTCTGGGCATTTTATATAAGGAAACCATACAACATGTTGTCTTTTGCATCTGGCCTTCTTCACTTAGCACGTTTTTGAGGTTCATTCATATTGTGACAGCAGGGCATTTTTTTTTTTTTTTTTGCAGTACACGGGCCTCTCACTGTTGTGGCCTCTCCCGTTGTGGAGCACAGGCTCCGGCCGCGCAGGCCCAGCGGCCATGGCTCACGGGTCCAGCCGCTCCGTGGCATGTGGGATCCTCCCGGACTGGAGCACGAACCCGTGTCCCCTGCATCTGCAGGCGGACTCCCAATCACTGTGCCACCAGGGAAGCCCAGCAAGGCATTTTTTATGACCAACAGCGACCTCTATTCAGATGAAGCTCAAATTCCCAGCCTTTCGTCCATGCTTAGACAAAGGACATGCTTAGAATGAGCATATGTCCCTGGGGGAAGAAAAGCAACAGCAGATTTTCAGTTCATTTCTCTATGATGCTCCCTCTGCAGAATTTTAGCCCCTCTCTGCTTTAGCAGCTCTCTGATGGCGTTAAACAAATTATTTCTGTATTATATCTAGCTTTTCTATTTGTTCTCAGTGAGAGCATTGATCCATCACAAATAACTCCACCCTACTCAGAAGCAGAAGTCCAAAGCCTGAATTTTTTCCAAGAAAAAAATCTATTTTGAGGTATAATATATATATATATATATATATATACACACACACACACACACATATGACAGCAAAATGCATACATGTTAACTGTACAGATCAATAAAATTTTACATATTTATATACACATCCTTTAATTACCACCCACATTAAGCTATAAAACTTTTCTAGCCTCACAGAGGGGTCCCTCATGCTCCTTCCCCATCAACAGCGCCACATCATGGTAACCGTTATTTTAAGTTCTATAACCAAGTATTGATTTTTCCTGTTCTCAAACTCCCTATAAATAGAATCACGTAGTGCATACTCTTTTGTGTCTGGCTTCTTTCCCTCATCTGTATGCCTGAGTTTCATCTTTTTTTTCATTTGTTTTTTTTGTTTGGTTTCTTTAGTCTATCCATAGTTTGCCCTCATTGCTGCCGTATAGTGTTCTGCAGTATTAATATACCACTGTTTACTATCTCTTCTACTGTTGATGAGCATTTCCATCGTTTCTGATTTGGGGCTGTCTTAGTTCAGGCTGCTGTAACAAAGTACCATAGCCTGGGTGGTTTAAAAACAGAAATTTATTTCTCACAGTTCTTTAGACTGGAAGTCTAAAATTGGGGTTGGGTTCTGGTGAGAACCCTCTTCTGGGCTGCAGAGTGCAGACATCTTGTACCTTCACATGGCAGAAAGAAGGATGAGAGAGCTCTCTGGGGTCTCTTTTACAAGGGTACTATCCCGTTTATGAGGGTTCTACTCTAGTGAATTACCTCCCGAAGTCCCCACTTCCTAATACTGTCACGTTGGGTGTTAGGATTGCAACATATGAATTCGATGGGGCAGGGACACAAACATTCAGTCCATAACAGGGGCTATTATGAATAAAGCTGCCATGAACATTTTTGTACATGATGAATTTTGGTAAGCACTGACATGGTGACTGTATCCATTTACACTCCCACCAGCAATGTGTGAGAGTTTGAGTTATCCCACATCCTTGTGATACTTGAGTCTTTTTTTTTTTTTTTTTTCCGGTACGCGGCCCTCTCGCTGCCGTGGCCCCTCCCGCCGCGGAGCACAGGCTCCGGACGCGCAGGCTCAGCGGCCATGGCCCATGGGCCCAGCCGCTCCGCGGCATGTGGGATCTTCCCGGACCAGGGCACGAACCCGCAGGGGACTCTCAACCACTGCGCCACCAGGGAAGCCCAATAATTTGTTATTTTTTTAATCATTGAGTAATATTCCATTGTAGGGACATACTTCATGTTTATTCATTCACCAATCGATGAACATTTGGATTGTTTCCAATTTGGGGTTATTACAAATAATGCTGCCATGAACATTTGAATTCAAGTCTTTGTGGACATATGTTTTCATTTCTTTGGGGTAAATACCTAGGAATGGAATTGCTGGTATATATAGGAGGTACATGTTTAGCATTATAAAAAACTGCGAAACTGATTCTCAAAGTGGCTATATCATTTGCTTTCCCATCAGCAGTATAAAAGGGCTATAGTTTCAATACATTTTTGCAATATTGTCAGTATTTTTGGTTATAGCCATTCCACTGAGTGTGGGTAGTATTTCACTTTAATTTGCATTTGACAAATGACTAATGGTGTTGAGCACCTTCTCATGTGCTTATTATCCATTGGTGTATTTTCTTTGCTGAAATGATTATTCAGATCTTCCCCTCTTTTTTTTTCGGTACGTGGGCCTCTCACTGTTGTGGCCTCTCCCGTTGCGGAGCACAGGCTCCGGACACGCAGGCTCAGCGGCCATGGCTCACAGGCCCAGCCGCTCCGTGGCGTATGGGATCTTCCCGGACCAGGGCACGAACCCGTGTCCCCTGCATCGGCAGGCGGACTCTCAACCACTGCGCCATCAGGGAAGCCCCTCTTCCCCTCTTTTTAAAAATTGGGTTGTCTTCTTATTATTGAGCTTTAAGAACTCTGTACGTAATCTGGATACAAGTCCTTTATCAGACGTATGATTTGCAAATATGTATTTTCTCCCAGTACATGTTTTGTCTTTTCATTTTCCTAATAATGTCTTTTGAAGATCAAAAGCATTTAATTTTGATAAAATCCAACTTAAATTTAAAACATATCAAAGAAATGTTCATCTAGCCCACGGTTACAAAAGTTTTCCTCTAAGTTTCCTTCTCTATGTGTATGGTTTTAGCTCTTATAATTAGGTTCATTTTGCATTTGGAGTTCATTTTCTGTGCACAGTGTGAGGTAAATGTCTAACTCTATATTATTACTCTCATTTTGCATTTGGATATCTAGTGGTTTCGCCACTATTTATTAAAAAGACTATGCTTTGTTCATTGAATTGCATTTGGGAGGGCATTTCATTGAACAGCCAAATACAAGTTCCTGGAATGTCTTCTTCCCATTGAGATAGTAAACCAGAAACAAACGACGTTGCTGGGGGGAAATGTAGAGATTAATGCTGCCATGAAAGGCTTTAACGAAGCAGGAGTGATGGTGATACCTATTAACTCCATTTAACTCACCAGAAGTCAGGTGGATCTTGGAGAATGACTATGGACTGTCATTAACTTAATCAGGTGGTGAGTCTAATTGCAGCTACTGTCCCAGATGAGTATGTTTACACAAGAAGTCAACATAGCCCCTCACAATTGGTATACAGCTATAACGTGGCTAATGTTTTTTTCTCCATACCATTTTTCAAGGACTGCCAGAAGTAGTTTGCTTTTACTTGGCAGAGCCAAGAGTATAGAGCCACAGTGTTCCCTCGGGGTTACATCACGTCTCATTGCTGTCATAAGATAGTTCACAGAGAACTCATTTATCTTGACATTCTACAGAGTCCCCTGTATTGACAACATTATGCTGATTAGATCTGATGAGCAGAAAGTGGCAAGTTGTGAAGGTGCCTTAGGAAGACATGTGTGAACTAGAGGGTAAGAGACAAACTTCACAAGAATTCAGGGTCCCATCACCTCAGTGGATCTCCTGGACATTCAGAGGACTAGAGAATATCAATATATGCCCTCCAAGGTAAAAGACAAGTTGTTGAACCTCACACCACTTACAATGAAAAAATGTATCATGCAAACATGAACCAAAAGATATCTGAATAGCTAAATCAGTATCAGACAAAGAAGATGATCCTTAAATTGGTGTCAACTTTATAATTAAAAATGCAATTGTAGGGGCTTCCCTGGTGGCACGGTGGTTGAGATTCTGCCTGCCGATGCAGGGGACACGGGTTCGTGCCCCGGTCCGCGAAGATCCCACATGCCGCGGAGCGGCTGGGCCCATGAGCCATGGCCGCTGAGCCTGCGCGTCCGGAGCCTGTGCTTTGCAACGGGAGAGGCCACAAAAGTGAGAGGCCCGCGTACAGCAAAAAAAAAAAAAAAAATGCAACTGTACATCCATGGTTTAAACTTTTTGAATGTATGTTACTTTTCACAACTAAATTTTTTTAAGTGCTCTGAGAACCAGATCAGGAAATCTTCCCCCAAGAAGATAAATTCATGGGCTGTTTTGTAAGGCCAAGGAATTTTTTAAGTGCATGAGGTGAACTATATGTATTGTGAAATACAGTTCTCTATTTTATTTGGTAACAACAAAAATCACAATACTTCTTCATTTAGATTTTTAAAAGATAAATAAAAAACTAGTATCAGTTGGTGTAGCTCAATCAATGGATTTGGACAATCTCAACCCACTGTTTCTGGATGAATGTTCTAATTGCCCGAACCATTCAATCTCATTTTCACATATTTGCATGGTTTACTCTTTATATTTTACAATATTTTTTTCCTGTGGTTTCCTTGGAGTTTTATTCCTTGGTAACTGTGTTCAAAAAAATGATGTCAAAATAAAAGCCTCCCTTTTGCCTCCCTGGTAAGCCCTCCTTTCCAATAGCCTCGATCTGGCCCTATCTGCTCTTGTTCCCCTTCTATACCATTGCTACCTCAGCCTTCACCTGTTTAAAATTGCTTTAAAAAGGTGGGCAGCAAGTCTTAGGACCCCAGGCTTGGGAAAAGGGACTCTGGCCAAAGAGAAGTTTCAGCACCACGGAGAGCGCCAGGATAGGGACGTGGATGGGAGGGGGGACTTTGCTCACCCTAACTTTCTAGCCCATGGCAAGGGCGCTGCGGTAAAACAAATGGCAATTAAATTTGTGTTTATTTTATGTGTAAATTATGTGTTTCCAAGACCAGCTCAGTTCTCATAAATCAGTTCCCATACAGCTAAGTCTTCAACGGCTGAATTCCCAGTATTCATCTAGCACTCAATAAATGTGAGTTAGCCCTCACACCACACAGTGATCATCCCACAGTTTGGAATACTCAGAAGAATTTCTCTAAAGAAGGTTTACAGAGACCAATAAGCACATGAAAAGGTGCTTAACATCATTAGTCACTAGAGAAAAAACTGCAGTGAGATACCACTTCACACCCACTAGGATGGCTATAATTGCAAATGAAACAAAACAAAGTGAAAAACATCAAGTGTTGGCAAGAATCTGGAGAAACTGAAACCCTCATACATTGGTGGTGGGAATATAAAATGGTACAGCTGCTATGGAAAGCAGTTTAACACTTCCTCAGGAAGTTACACACAGAATTAACACAGCAATTCTACTCCTAGGTATCCACCCAAAAGAACTAAAAACAAGTCTTCTAACAAAAGCTTTTACATGAATACAAGCAGCTCTATTCACAATAGCCAAAAAGTGGAAACAATCCAAATGCCCATCAATGGATAAATGTATAGACAAAATACGGTATATGCATACAAAGGAATTTTATTCATCCATAGAAAGGAATGAAATATGTATACATGCTACAACGTAGATAAACCTTGAAAACATGCTAAGTGAAAGAAGCCAGACACAAAAGACCAGATATCATATAATTCCATTTATATAATTTATATAATGGAATTTCATAAATCTATGAATAGGCAAATTCATAGATTAGTGGTTGCCAGAGGCTGGGGGAAGAGTAAACTGCTTAATGGGTTCAGGGTTTCCTTTTGAGGTGATGGACATGTTCTGGAACTAGATAGCAAAGATGGTTTCACACATTGTGAATGTATTTAATGCCACTGAATTGCACACTTTAAAATGATTAAAATGACAAACTTTACATTGTAATGTATTTTGTTACAAAAAAGAGAAATACGTAAAATACTCAGAGGGGCCACTGGCTCCGGAATCCCTCAGAACCAGCATGAATCACTCCCGTGCCACCCCTCTCCTCCTGCAGCATCCCAGGTCTTCCCTTTGATATTCTGGGTCACCTCTCCTACACCAGGAGCCTGATGATTGCTGCGCATGGTATCTCTCCTCCCGTCATCCAGGTGAGTGGACCAGGTGAGTGGGTAACTCAGCCTGCAAGACCCTATCTTCCCTTGTAGATACTGGCTGAACTATGAGATCCATCTGGTGGAGAAGAGTCTGACAGAGACAGTGAATATGAGTTTTTTGAAGGCTCTTGTCAAGAACATCAACACCAACATCTCAGAAGACCTGCACTTCTCTCTGACCCCCTCTCAGGTGAAGGCTTCCCCCCATCCCCACTGGCTGGTCCTGGTCCTACTTTCCTCAGGCATATTTTTCTGAGAGAGTCATGGTCTGTGCTTGGTGCCCATCAACAGTTATCCTTCCCATGTCCCATTTAGTAGTTCTCTGCCACCTGGCTGATGGGTGCTGGTGAGTTAATCGGTTGAGTGGATCCTGGTAATATATTACCCAGGGTGCTAGGATGAGACCTTCAGAAGATCACCGAATCGAGAGTCAGGATTCTAGCCCTGGACTTCCCACCACCTGATTAGGTGTCCTCCAGGAAACCCCCTCCCCTCTCTGGGCCCCTGAGTCCTCATCTGTAAAATGAGCTCGAAGGCTCCTCCAAAGTCTGAGGTTCCCTTGAACTCTTCCACCAGGGGACACATTAGAAAACAGGTAAAGGCACTTGTAGAGGTGCTGCAAAGGGTTAACGGGCAGACTCTGGGTTTACATAGGTCTGGATTCAAATCCCATTTCCGCCCCTTACCAGCTATTGTGATATTGGGCAAATTACCTAACTTTTCTGAGCCTCGGTTTCCCCATCTGTAAAATGGAGATGGTATTGCCCACTTTCAAGGTTGTCAGAGGGAGCAAATGAGATAACTCACAGGGAATGCTTGGTGCATCGAGGGCACAGCCTCCCTTAAGGCATAAAGCTGAGGGTGGAAGTTTGGGCAGCAGGGAAGTGGTCTATCGTGGAGGGATTTTAGGTCTGCCTGGAGAAGGGGAGATAGAAGATGGACGGGGCCTTTCTCAACCCTTTATCACGTCACCCCAGCAGCTGAGCCCTCTGCGTGGGGTAGGCACCGGCCTGTGAAATCAACCACATGTCCTTTTGACAAGGTTCTGGATTGGGAAGCAGAAAGTTGAGTCTCTCGGCTACAACACTTAGCGCCCCCTGTTCCAATGCCCATGGGATGCTTTTGAGGCAGGACCAGGTGGGACCAGGCTGCAGTCCCAGGGGGAGCAATGAGGTCAGAGAATGAACAAAACACGCTTGGCAACTATCAGTAAAATTTATTTTAATATTTTGACCATTCTTAGCTTTTACAAAATGTGTTGTTGTTGGGTGGGGGTGGGTATCACATTCAGTGTGAATTCTTGTGTCCTCCCTCTCGGCCCTTGCTGTCTCCCTTCCTGATGGCCTTACATTTTCCATTTATCCCTGAGTTGGAAAATAGACACTGTCACCATAGCCGTATGTCAGCACAACGGGGGTCAGGACCCTGGCCAAAAGCACCACAACTGACCCTCTCTCACACTTGCAAACTGACCTGTCCAGGTGTCGCCCCTTCACAGCCCACTTTCAACCTGATGGGTGGCCACGCGGGCATCTTACTGGCTCCATTCTCCATATTGGGAAAACCGAGGCTCCACAAGGCTGTGATTTGGCCAGGAGCTCACAGCCTGGACAGAGCAGGGCTTGGACTGTGCCCCCAGGTGTCCTGCCTCTCAGAGCTGTCCTCGGTCCTCAGGCTGCCCCACCACCCAGCATGCCTGTTTTTCCTTCCATCTGGGGGAGGGGTGGGCAGGACCTGTGTTAGGGGCTGGGCTCCTCAGGGAAAGACAGAGCGGCTGGGTCTGTGGTTGCAGATTCCGAAGCAGGTGACAGAGGACGAGCACCGGCACCCTGACAGAGTCCGGCTGCCCAGGAGCCTTTTTGGATCCTTGCAGGGCAACAGGCCAGTGGTTCGGTTGGCCATAACCATCCTGAATGTTGGTTCGGGGAATGTCTTCAAGGTGAGGAGAGGCTCAGGGTGGCTGAGGTTCCATGCTTGGTTAAGCAGGACATGCTTGCCCTCTCTGGAGTCTTTGCTGAGGGGCCTGATGGGGATGGAGGAGGTGAGGAACCTCTGGAGTGTGCCTAAAGCAGCCGAGGCCATCCCAGACCCCTGTCTCTAGGGTCTGTGGACCGCGGGCTCACGCCGGTTATTCACACTCCGCTGTTTGGACTGCCCACACCTGTGCCCTTGGACTCCTGTGTGTGTATCCCAAGTGTGTTCATGACCCCTGTGTGGCCTCATGCATGCACAAACATGTATCTCCTTCCTTATTCCTGGTGCGCACGTAATCATGTGTGCTGGTGTGACCATGTTCACATGAGCAAGTGTACCCAGGCCCTTGCAAATTTGTACCAGGTATGTCCCCAGAGGTGTGTCTCCACTCCCATGGGGACATGTGTATCCCTGAGTGCTGGTGTGGGCAGGTGCTCCCCACCTGTAGGCACCACTGCCCTCCGTTTCCCGGCTGATCTTCCTTCTAACCCTGCACTCCAGTTAAGAGGGCGGAGGAGGCCTGGAGACCAGCAATGGAGAGCCATCAGGTACACGGCTTTGCGGCCATTTGGCCTGGAGGGTAGGGCCCGCCCTGGCCCAGCTGGAGCAGACTACAGAGAGCAGCAGGAAGAAGGTCGCCCATGACTCCCTGCCCCCTGTTCCCCCGGCCCCAGACTTTGCCCTCCAGGCAAGGGCCACAAGCCCTAGCGGCTCCCAGGAGCCCTGAGAAGGGCTGGGCTGGGGCAGTCCCTTGTGCAGCCTGGCCTCACCCATGTCCCTCCACAGGGCCCCCGGCTCAGCCTAGAGGATGACAGCAGCGTGTTGAACAATCACGTGGTGGGCTTGAGTTTGGGTCATATAAATGTCACCGGCCTGGCTGAGCCTTTGGAGATCACCTTCTCCCACCAGCACCAGCCTCCTGTGAGTCCCCCACCCTGGCCTGGCAGCTCCTGAGGGGCAGACATGTGGGTGGGCACCCCTGGGCATAGGGGCAGACACACACGGACTCTGCACACCCCACGCTCCCACAACCACCTGGGTTTACATAGGTCTGGATTCAAATCCAGACACACAATTGTGCCCAGGGACACATGCCCACCCTGTGCACGCATGTCTCCACGTGCCTCCCAGACTCCCTCCGCTCCTGTGCTCATAGAGATGCCCAGGGGACCTGGCAAACACACGTGCACGCGCATGGCTGCCCACACACACGCTCCCCTAAAGGCATGTGCCTGCAGACATGCGCCCCTGCCAGCCACAGCCCCACGCCTCTTCACACCCCCGACATGCTGACCCAGGATACATCAAACGCTTCGCGTTCCTGTGTGACCACAGGCTGAGACTTGCTTCTACCTAATGCGTGCCTGTGCTGAGACCCAGAGCACACTGTCTTCTCCCCCTTCCCGTCCTACCCTCCTCTGCCCTCTCCCAACTTCCCCTGCCTCGCCCCTGACTCCCAATCTCTGGTTTCAGAACGTGACCCTCAGCTGTGTATTCTGGGACGTGACTAAAGGTAGGGCCTGGAGGATCTTCCCTGGGTAAGATGGGCGGAGGGTAAGGGCTCCTTAGGGGACAGGACTCCAACCGCAGGGCCCCTCCCCTCTTTCTTTCCTCTCTGGACCCCTCTCTTCCCTTTCCCTGCCTTCCCCTCTCCTCTGCTTCCCTATATTCCCGGCCCCTCCCCTAGGCTCCCTCTCCTCCCCAGGGTCGTCAGGAGACTGGGCTTCCAGGGGCTGCTCCACAGACGTCGGAGTCAATAGGACCATCTGCCGCTGTGACCACCTGACCTTCTTCGCCTTGCTGCTGGTAATGTCGTGCCACCCCGCCCCCCCGCCATCCTAGCAATTCTGGAAGTGCCAAGGCTCCCGGCCCAGGGAGGACGCTGCCTGGCCTGGTCTCCAACTGATAGGATTCTTATTTGCGGGGATCGTCCACAGAGGCCGATCTTGGACCAAGTCACCGTAAAGGCCCTCACACGCATTTCCCAGGCTGGCTGTGGAACCTCCATGATCTTCCTGGCCTTCACCGTTGCCCTCTACGCTTTCCTGAGGTGGGTCACCCCATCCCCACCCCACATCTCCCTCCTGCCCTCAAGGGCGGCAGCAGGGCAGGGTAGAAACCAGCAGGGTAGCGTTAGTCGTGCAGCACTATACTGATATTTTCTCCAAACCTCCGTTTCCTCACCTATAAAATGGGATTGGAGGTTGAAATGTGTCTGACTATTTCAGTTACAAGTGGCAGAAGCTCAACTCAGATTGGCTTAAACATAATAGGTAATGTGTGGTTCACAGAACTGAAAAGCCCAAGGTGAGCTCACTTCAGGTGATGTTGGATCCAGGGGCTCAAAAGATGTCCCCAGGACTTGGTGTCTGTCTGATTCTCAAAACTTTGCTTTCTCCTTTGTCAGTCATGTCAGGCAACTTCTCCATACTCAGGGGCCTTGGGGAGCCCCAGGCTTGCATCATAGCTTCTTAGCTGCCTGGACAGCTAATATTCTAAACTAAGGCCCAGAATTGAAGTTTCTAAAAAAACTTTCTTGGACTTCTCTGATGGCACAGTGGTTAGGAATCCGCCTGCCAACGCAGGGGACACGGGTTCGAGCCCTGGTCCGGGAGGATCCCACATGCCGCGGAGCAACTAAGCCCGTGCGCCACAACTACTGAGCTTGCACTCTAGAGCCCAAGAGCCACAACTACTGAGCCCTCATGCCACAACTACTGAAGCCCACGCACCTAGAGCCCATGCTCCGTAACAAGAGAAGCCACCTCAATGAGAAGCCTGCACACCACAATGAAGAGTAGCCCCTGCTCGCTGCAACTAGAGAAAGCCCATGCGCAGCAACAAAGACCTAATGCAGCCAAAAATAAAAATACATAAATAAATAAATTTAAAAATTTTTATTTTGAAATAATTATAGGCTAACAGGAGCTTGCAAAAATAGTACCTAGAGTCCCATGGTTCCTTCATCCAGCTTTCCTCAGTGATGACATTTTCTGTAACTGTAGTACAATATAAAACCAGGAGATTGACATTGGTACAGCACTGCTAACAAGACTACAGAGCTCATTCAGTTTTCACCATCTTCCACATGCACTCAATTGTGTGTGTGTGTGCATGTTCACACACGCACACAGGACTGGCTATATCATTTGTAGGGCCCAGTCCAAAATGAAAATATGTAGCCCCTTGCTCAAAAATTATTAAGAATTTCAAGATGGTGACAGCAGAGCATTAAAACGAGCATAGGGCCCTTCTGAGTACAGGGGCCTGCAGAGGTCATACACCAAGGAAGCTGACCCTGTGCATGTCCTGTGTGTGTGTGTGTGTGTGTGTATGTCTATGCAGTTTTATCCCATGTATACCAGAGTTGAGTTATACTGGTCTAACTTAGACCATGTGCCCATGACTGAACACGCCACTGTGGTGAAAGGATGAATTACGCTGATTGGTCAGGCCACCCTAGTGCCTGCTCTTGGGTTTGAGAGTGCATGGCTGAGAGTGGGGAAGGGTGCTCCCAAGGGAAACCTGGGGCTGTTTCTGGAAGAAGGAGGAGCAGAAACATCAGAGGCTACTGCAGCCTGTGCCCAGGCCCCGGCCATGGCGGAGGGAGCCATAGGAACTGCCAGCCTCAAGGAGCCTGTGGGAGCAGCCCCACGGCTGGCCTCCCGACCCACGACGGGCCTGGAGCAGCCCTTGGTCTCCTGACTCCCGGTCTGGGGCCCTCCCACTGCCTTCCTGCACATGCTGGCACTGTTTGGCCCTGGGCTGAGGCCCCCACCAGCCCCACCCACTCCATCTCGGACCGAACTGTGAGCGTAAATGGTGCCACCCCTGCCCCCATGCCCCAAGCCCTGGCCTAATACAAGCTGAGCATGACTTGCCAGCTGGCTGCACTGCTTGACCCTGTGAGACGGGCTTGGAGCACCAGGAGGAGCCGTCAACCTCTCCCAGGGGTGGGGCCTGGCATCTCAGGTGAGGTGGACATTATCCCTCACGCCCACTCCAGGCAGCCCTGAGCTCCCACCCCTCCAGTGAGAGTCCTTTGGGAGCTGATTTGCTAGGAATTCGCAGTGGGAACTCCACAGAGGGGGAAGTGAGCCCTGGGAAAAAGCCCTGGACTGGGAGTCTGGAGCCCCTGCCCTGTGCTGTGACTCTGAGTCCCTGTTCCTCTCTGAGCCTCACCCTCCCTACTAAGTTCTAGGCTTCATACATCCATGACCTATCTGCCCACTCCCTCAACCAATGCAGGGCTTCCTCCTGCTTATTGTGTTAGGCCCCAGGTCAAAGCCTGGGGAGAGACGGAAATAAGGGGTGGGTGGAGAGTTATGCTGCGCTCACTCCTGGGAAACTTCCAAATAAGCCTGGGATAAGTGACGTTCAGAGACAGCCTTCCCAGAAAGAAACACCCAAGGGGGATTTTGAAGGTGAAGCAGGGAACGGCATTGAGAGCAGAGGGAAGAGTGTGGGCAAGTCCGGGAGGCGTAGAAAAGCAGAATGCATTTAGGGAATTGCCAATTAGGTAGTTTGGCTCAAGCGTGGAGTCAAGGGATGAAGCCACCAGGATCCAGAATCCACAGGGCCCTACGGGTCATGAGAGGGCTCGTGGACTTGAACTGGAGTGTCCTCACACGCTGGTTGCTGGCAGGGGTGGAACAGAGGTGATCGGACGGAGAGGCCCGGGTGCCCCCTTGCAGCCTCTCACTGGCCCTTCTCGCCCCAGGTTTTCCCAGCAGAGGTTGAACTCCGAAGACGTCCCCAAGATCCACGTGGCCTTGAGCGTCAGCTTATTTCTCCTGAATCTGGCCTTCTTCATCAATGTGGGGCACGGCCTGAAGGGGTCCAGTGCTGCCTGCTGGGCCCGGGGGGCCGTCTTCCACTACTTCCTGCTCTGTGCCTTCACCTGGATGGGCCTGGAAGCCTTCCACCTCTACCTGCTCGTCATCAAGGTCTTTAACACCTACTTCGGGCACTACTTCCTGAAGCTGAGCCTCGTGGGCTGGGGTAGGTGCCGCTTGGCCAGGCAGAGGGGACGGCTGACTCTGGAAGAGGCAGCAAGGGGACCAGCCTGGGGCGAGGGAGGGGCAGCTCCCTCTCTGATTGGCTCAGAGCTCGAGGGATGGACAGCTGGAGGGGGATTTGGAGGAGGACGTGCCAAGGGAGCCCCAGCAATGCCATACCTCCTCCTCCCCTTGCCCCCAGGCCTGCCCGCCCTAATAGTCATCGGCGCTGGGAGCGCCAACAGCTATGGCCCCTACGCCATCCGTGACAAGAAGAACACCGCCACGCTGGAGCTGTGAGTGCTGGCTGTGGAAGCTGCGGTGGCCTCAGGGTCCTGGAGGCCAGAAGGAGGTGGAGGTGGGGAGAGGAGGGAATCCTGGGAAGAAAGACGAGTAAGTCAAAGCAAAGGATCCTCAGATCCAGCTAGCGCACGGCCTGCAGGGGTAAACTGAGGCCCAGAGAGAGGAAGTACAATGAGAGAGGGGGTGAGAAGGAGAGAGAACTGGACCAGGAGGCAGGATGCCTTGCTCTAGCCCAGGTCACCACAGCCTATATAGCACCTTTGGGCAAATTTTAAAAGGTACCCCCCCCATCCCTCTGACCTGCCATGCCAGGTGCTCAGCCTGGTGAGTGGAGGGTGAGTTGGATCTCAGCCCCCACCCGCCCCCCAGCCAGGTGCCCTTGTGCAGGGCACAACCTGCCCAATATTTGCAGCAGCCCTGATTCCATCCAGACTCTGTCTCTGAGTAGCTGTGTGACCTTGGGCAAGCCTGTCCACTTCCAGAGCCTCGGTCTCCTCATCTGTACAATGGGGGACTGATCCACATGCTCTTTTGGGCTTTCACTCCTGCAGTGCAGGGAACAGGGGAGCTGAGCTGAGCCTCTCCCAGGGTACCTGCCTGAGGCCCATGGTTCTGTGCTAAGAAGAGCTGGTGGGGCCTTGGTCCTGTCCCCAGGGCCTCAAATGCAGGGCCCCAGGGGCCAGGCAGGGAACATAAGTACATGCAGCGGCCTGGGTGGGCACAGCGACAGACTGGCAATCACGTGCCAGTCTAATGGGCAGCTGACTACTGTCCCTCCGGAGGGCATCCACAGAGCTGCCAGCTGTATGGTTTTATAAGAGAAGCAGAAATCTGGATGTTTCAGGAATTCCCTGGCGGTCCAGTGGTTAGGACCTGGCGCTTTCACTGCCAGGGCCTGGGTTCAATCCCTGTTCAGGGAATTAAGATCCCACACGCTGTGTGGCGTGGCCAAAAAAAAAAAAAAAAATTGGATGTTTATGCCAAACATTTCACTTTTAAAAGGTGGTCATTAATTCAATTTTTTTTTTCTTACAACATAATGTGGGGTGAACGAAACATGTCTTTGGGACAGAACTGGCCTTTTACACTCACTGGTCTAAAAAGACAGCCCCTCCCCCGGGAGAGTGGGGAATGGATGGGTGAAGATGGGAGAAGGCATCTTTTTGGTCAGAGAAGATCTGGCAGGGAGACAGCCCAGGGCTTGCTCTCAGGAGACTTCCTCTGGTCCTAACGGCCATCTGCCTCCTCCAGGTGCTGGTTCTGTGAGAAAACTGCCATCTCCGCGCTCTACGTCACTGTCCACGGCTATTTCCTCGTCACCTTCCTCTTCAGCGCCGTGGTCCTGGGCCTGGTGGCCTTGAAGATCTTCACTCTGTCGAGTGCCACAGCGGGCAAGGAGAAGTGGCAGCACTGGAAGGGGTTCCTCACCCTGCTGGGCCTCTCGAGCCTGGTGGGCGTGACCTGGGGGCTGGCCATCCTCACACCCCTAGGCCTGTCCACCACCTACGTCTTTGCACTGTTCACGTCTCTGCAAGGTGAGGCTCCTGGGCCAGGGAGGTGACGAGCTGCCTCGCCTGCACCAGGGGGTGTTGGGGGGCTTTGGGGGGAGGGGGTAGATGGCAAGAAACAGGATTCTACTCAGGCTCGCTCAAATCAAGCGTACTGATTTTAAATATCCAAGGCTTTCCCAAGGACCCCAGGGCAGGAAGGCTGGCTGACCTCATGGGAGCTGGTAGCAGGGTCAGGAAAAGCCACCAAAACCAAAGCAGATACTTTCCCCATCCTTTTCTCTGGAGTCACACATAGTCTCTTACCTTCTCTCTGTGGAAGCTTCTTCGTTCTTCTCTCCACTGGCCCATTCCTACCCATGGCCCCCAACTGGCTGCCCAATATGGCCCCCTCATCCCTATGTGACCTTCCAAGTCTAGTGACCATGGTCTGCTTCAGTCTCTTCCATGTTCTTAGGAGAGTCAAGGATCTGACTGGGCCATCTTGGGTCAGGTGTCCATGTCTGGTCCAATCATCTGTGACCAGGAGGGCGGGATCATGTGATGTGAAGGCGATGTGACACGAACAGAATCTCTAAGGGACTGTGAAGGCAGGAAGCAAATGGTTAGTGGAGGAAATGCTTGCTACGTCTGCTCCCTGCTCCCGCGGGGTTCTTTCTCTGATACCCAGCAAAGGGGCAGGCGCCCAGGGTGCATGTGGGACACGGTTTCCCCGCCCGCACCTGTCCTCTTTGTTCCTCATACCCCTGTTTCATACACGCAACTTAAAGAAGCATCACAGCCTGACTGTGAGGGAAACAGCTAAGAGAGGAATGACAAGGAGTTACTAGGAACCGAGGGGTCCTAGATCCAGCAGGTGCAAGCCCACAAGAACAGGGCTGGCTCCCAGTGCCTCACAAGACTACATGGCACCATGGTTGGCAGCACTTGGGGACAAGCAGACCGGGGTTCAAATCCCACCTCCACTCACCACCCCAGCAAGTCACTCAGCTCCTCTGATCCAGTCACCTGTACAGCTGGGATAATTCCAGTACTTTTCTCGCCAGATTTCATGATGAATAACTGAGATAATGTGTGTGTGTAATACAGGAGGCCTTCAATATGTGGGAACTACGTTAACAACAGCAGAAGTCGTTATTACTAGGCCACCGGAGACTGTCCCCAGATGAAGAATGATGGGTCCACCTCTGAAAATTCCCAGGGGTTACGGCTTGGAGAGGGATGCACCTTGAAACTGTGGATTATGTCATTCTTTCTGAGGTTACCCATCATAGTTAAGTCCGGACACTTCACCGCACTGAGTTATTTCAACTGAGTGTAACTCAGTATTTCTCTCTTCTTCCCAAACAGAGCCCTCAGCCCACTTTAACTGCCCTTGAACTCTTCTCAATATTTTTTATTGTTCTGTAGGGTTTTAGTTCTACATTTCTTTTAAAGAAACACAAAGATTTTTACTTTTCTCTCAATTTCTGTACTTACTACAGTTTTCATACCTCACATCTTCCCTTTTCTTCTTGCTGAAGCACATCCTGTAATAATCCTCTATAAGAGGGGCAGTGGTAGTTGTCTTGCATGTCTGAAAATTCCTTCATTTCAGTCTTTCTTTTATGAGATAGCTGTGTGTATAGATTTTATTTCGAGGACTGTGGTTTTCATTCTCAGGTTATCTATTTGGTTCTTTTTCAGGAGTAGGTTTCATTTTTTGTCTGATTTTTCTATACATTCTTGAACTTTTACAGTGGAGCGATTTCTCCTCTGAGTGGCCGCCAGCCCAGGCCCCACCCCAGGCTCACTGAGGCCCTCTCCTCCCTGACAGGTGTCTTCATCTTCTGCTGGTTTGCTGTTCTCTACTTCCCAAGCCAGAGCACCGTGACCTCGTCTTCTGGCACTGCCCGGGCTGACCAGGTCCTCACCGTGTCTCATGAATAGCGGGCTGCCGTGTGGCCAGGCCGGGGCTGGCCTGCACTCTGGACTCAGCTCTGATTTGCTGTGTGACCTTGGTGGGAGGGAAGAGGTGCTCCCTGCTTCCTTCTGGGCCTCAGCGCCCTTCTCTGTACAATGGGACTGGGGAGCAAGGGGATGGGAACCAGGTTGGACCATGTGGCCTCAAAGGTCTTACCCAGATACACCTATGGGTCTGAGAGTTCACAGATCCAGGATGGCAGGAGTCTCAAGTCCCTGTAATCCTAAGACCCTGCCGGCACGCCCACCCCCTGCCTTCAGAGCAAAGCGGGCTTCTGGTCTCAGGAAGGGCCTGAGCCCAAATAAGGAAGTCTGTCGTTGGCCTCTTGAAGGAGCCCCCAGCCGCTCCCCTCCCTTACTTCCCCTTGTCACCGCCCTCCCACAACTCCACCCTCTGGCCAGGCACCTGGGGGGCCCTCAGGGCCACCATCCCCTCAGGCACTGGGGCGGTTGTGGACTGGAGGTTTGTTGCCCGGTCGGGGGGGAGTGGGGTTTGGTCCTCGCACCCAGGCTGCCCCTGGTCTCAGCCACTCACCAGGGCCCATCCTCATGGAAGACCCCCTACTGTTCAGGGGGCTGCCAGCCCTCCAAGTGTTGGGGACACCGAATATCAAAGAATGCCACTTACTCAGTAGGTGGGATACCTCAAGCAAGCCCCCGTTCCCCACTCTGGCCTGCCCCTGTCTCGGGTCGAGGGGGCGGGAGGGGACGGGAGGGCGGGGCGGGGCGCTGCACATCTGAGGCCTGAGGAGCCAGGGCCGGGGGCAGGGGGTGTGGGCTGAGCAGAGAGAGGGTGGGCATTTCTTCTGAAGTCTGAGCTCCTATAGAGCAGGCGGGCACTTTGACAGCTTTGCTCGCTCACCGGTTCAGCCCAGCCCGAGCCTGGCATGCTTGGCAGGCCCTGAATAAATATTAGTTGGCCCTCGATGGAGGTGTGAGTTTGGCACCAGCCTGACAGGGCCCTGAGCCAGGGGAGTGCCTCAGGCCAGACCCAGCTGGGTTTGTCACTTCCAGTGGCTGGGCTTGGTTTTGAAACCCCTGATTTCCTCAGTAGGAAGCAAAAAAGAGGCAGAGACAGTAGAGACAGAAGTAGGGGTACAGAGATAGAGAGATGGAGAGAGAGAGAGAGAAAGACTTAACAGATGAACTGCCACAAAGAAAGAAAACAAAAGGAGAGAGACGGACAGATGCAGAGACACACTGGCCCCCTGGCCTGGCCCAACCAGGAGGGCAGGGCACTGGTATCCGTCCCCGTCCCCTTACAGCCACTGCACACTTCAGCCCTAACTTACTACTGGGACAGCTCACCCTCCCTCCCCAAACCCCACCCTTCCCAGTGTGCTTTGCAGACGGTCAAGCACCTTCTATAGGTGAGAAGCCTGCCTCTTCCCCCCAGATGCCCTGGACTGGATTCCCCTTCTCCCTCCTCCCACCCAGCAAACAGATGAAAGAAAGGAGGCCCGGGACCCTTGGTTTATGCAAGTCACTGTGTTCCCGGAAGGGAAATCTTAAGAGTGTGGACATTGCGACAGTTGAGCCACATTATCAGTTTTTGTGGGCAGACTTGGTGGGTTTCGGGCTTATCTTCACTAACAGCCGTTTCTCACACTGAAGGTCTCAGCAACCTTACCCCAAAGTCTCAGGGTTACTAACCTGTCCTCAGAAAGAACACTGATCCAGTGTCTGATAGGCCTGGGTTCAAATCCTAGCTCTGCTGCTTAGGGCCTGTGTGACCCTGGGCCTGTCACCGCACCTCTCTGAACCTCAGTTTCACCCTATGTAAGATGGGGCTCATTGAGTCCTTGCCTTGTCCTGAGAGCATTAAGTGAGGTGACAAAAGTAAAGTGCCCAGCACTAAGTCAGCAGGAGTTAGTTTGCTCCCTGAGAACCCCCCTTGGCTTAAAGAAAACCTGGGTGTAAAGCAGATTGTGAGCTTCTGCAACCTGTTTGTAAACTGGGAGGGTGTCAAGTTTAAAGCTCCCTTCCAGATTCCTTGTACAGCTCTGCCAAGTGGACCAGCCCTGGGTGGGGAGGATGAAATGGAGGCCGAGAGAGGCCCAGGGACCCACCCAAGACCACCCTGCAAGCTGGGCCAACAGTAGAGCTGGGGTCTCCATGGGTTTAAGAATTATCACCTCATTCCTGACCCCCGAGTCTCAAGGGAAATCCTGGGTGGTGGCTTTTTCTTTCTTCTTCCTTGCTTTCTCATTAAGAAATACTCAGTGGGATGTGCAACCAACAGAACAACAAGTGCCGGATGGGCTGCGTTTCCAGGTGCAGATGCAGAGGGCAGACGGGGAGCGTAGCTAATAGTACGGATGTCCTTTTCTCTGCCTGGCTCTCCACCCCAGGGCCAGGCAGGGGCAGAGGGGCTGGGGTCCCTCATTGCCTGAAGTCACTGCAAAAGTGGCTCCAAGTGCCAAGTGGAGCGCGTGCTCAGGCCAGGGAGGGCTGTGGCAAAAATACATCCCAAGGTCCAGCGTGGATAGACAGGGTTCCCTTGCCACTGAAGCGTCACAAGAGCAGCCTGGGAGGTGGATAGCACCATGGTTACGAGCATGGACTCTGAGGTCAGCCTGCCTGGTCCAGATTCCTTGCCTTGGACCAATTCCCCACTTACTGAATCTGTAAAGCAGGGATGGCAGTAGCTGCCCTACAGGGCTGATGATTAAATGAGATACTGGCTAAGACGGCTGCCCACCTGGCCCAGCGTGAATGTGACTAAGCCAGAGCTTGGCCTTGGCTGACACTTTATCAGGCTCTGGGTTGCAGTGGTCATCTGTGTGCTGCAGGAAGAGTGTCCCCTCACCGTGATTCCCTGCCTGGTTCTCTCTGTTCTGCCTCAATTTCTTCATTCCTAGTATTTTTTCCATTACAATCTAACAAATAGACAGGAAATAAGAAGACCTATTTGCTCTGTGCTTTCAGAGAGGTAACAATATCAAAAGATAAGAGTTCTTCACAATTTGATCTATGAATACAATGTGATTCCAGTAAACATTCTAAATGATATTTTTAGACTTTCTAAAACTTATTCTAAAATTTATATTAAGGCATATAGTCCTCAAATAGCTAAGTCATCCTTAATGAAAGAGGACATAGAAAGAAGAACTGACCTGCAGATATAAAGATTTTACAAGGCCATAGTGATAAATTCACCATGGAGTCTGTGCAGGGATAGGCATGAAGACCAGTGGAACAGAACAGAGGGCTCAGTGGCAGACTCGTGTGCACCTGGGGGATTTAATACACGACAAGAGTGACATCACAAAGAAGGGACGAATGGTCTGATGGTGGTATTGGAAAATTAGCTCATTGTATGGGGAAAAATAAAACAAAATCCTTACTTAACCCCTCATACAGAGATGGGCTCCAGGCAGAGTAAAGGTCTAAATGGGATGGCAAAATTATAAAGTTAACATAGGAAGATATTTCTGTGACTTAAGTGCAAGGAAGGATTTCTCAAACAAAAATTCATAAGCACAAAACATCAAACCAAAACCTGATAAATTTAATTACATCAAAATTAAGGTTTTCTGTTTAATGAAGGTCACCATGGGAGATGTTAGAAGACATGTGACAGAATGGGGGGAGGTATTTGCAGCATCTGAAACCAGGGATTAACATCTGGAAGTCCTGCAATCCAAACAAGATACTTCCCCAATAAAGAAAAATGGTCCGAGGCTTTAAAAGACAATTTCAGAGGAGGAAACGCCTAAAACTAACACATTAGCACATGAAGACACATTTAAAATCATTAGTAATCAGAGAGAGGCATGTTAAATTACAGTGAGACCTCATTGTGCCTCTATGAAACTGGCAAACATCAGGAAGGGAGAGAATATCAGCTGCTGGTGGGGTCAAGGGTACCAGGCTCCCCCGTGCATTGTGGGAGGTGGGGAGCATGTAGGTTTCGCTGCCTGGAGAAAAGTGAGGTGCCGCTGCTGAGCCAACCATCCCGCTCCTGGTTATTTACCCCAGAGAAACATTTACTGGTCTAGAAAGGACTCCACCGATGACATGTGTTGCATTACCTGTGGATAATGGAAGTTGATGGCAAAGCAGGGTGTCCACTGCTGGGAGAGTAGAGAGGTAATTATTGTGTGTCCATGGACACACAGCAACTGGGGTGGATCTTAAACACACAGTTCTTAGTGAAAATGTAAGAAATAGAGATATTAATACAATATCATTAACACAAATTAAAAACACCAGGAGTATGCCAAAGAATGCTCATTTGGGGGGGGGAGCGCATCAGAACGATGTCTATGTGGGCGGGGAATGGGAGTGGGTAAAGGGGAATAAATCACTTTACAAAGGAAATTAGGTGTTGCATGGGAAAAAAGGGGCAATGAGGCCTATGCTCCATTCCACCAGCCTAACATATCACATTTACCTTTTCCTCCTCCCTTCCTGGCCTCATCCCAGGTGAATTCCCCACAGAGGTAATCCCAGGGTGAAATCCAGGACTGATGTCCACATGCCTTCTCTGGGGATTTCCCTTGGTCTAATTTATCCTTCACACTTTATTTTTCATGACTACGTAATGTTCCAGCCAGAAGAAAAAATTATTCTTTATTATTGAGAATGAGGTGATTCCTACATTTCCATCAATAACAGCAACTATATAACCTTGTCAGGACATCTGCAGTATTTCTCTGGACCCCGCTGCCCACTACAAGGCAGCATTACAAGTTTTGTGGGCCCTTTCCTTTAAAAACAGAACAGAAAAAATTATATTTTGTGACTGCATTGGTACAAAGACAATTATAATCCTGGGTGGATTCATAATTATATATTCATTATCAGTCTATTCATTTTTTCTTTGGAATTTAAAATAAATTAAAATTAAGCATTTTCATGGGCCACTAACCTAATGGATAAGTTTTCTCTGTCCCATGAGTTATATACTAAACCAGCAGTCCAGCCTGGACTAGAACCAAGACTCAGGGAGCCTGGCACTGTCCACTATGACAGGCGGCCATGCCAGGACCCACACTGGTTTCCATATGTTTTGAAGAAGGCCACATTGACCATGCATGGAGCAGAAGCCGTGGTGTCCTGGTAAATGTTTAACAACTACCTGACGAGAGAAAAAGCCCTAGTCTGTAGCATTTGCCAATTTCTGTGGTGTAAATAATCTCATGGCCAATTTTAAGCTATCAATATGACATCGCTGAAGGAAAAAGATTCAGAGTAGCTCACACTTACATAATATTTTCGTTGTAAAGATACAATAGGCATAAATGATCTCAAGAGCTCAGATAATAATGAAATGCAGTAAAATAATTAGGAAGTGATGAGTTTTGAGTATTTATTACCTTTGTTTTTAATATAATCTATTTACTTATATGTTTTTTATAATTTAAATCTTAATAACGCCTGTGTTTGTCAATGGGCTCACAAACATTCCTGAAGTTTAAAAAATCAGCTCTTGCAAGCTGGCACAAGCTGGCTCCAGCCCACCACTGGCTGAGGGACATGCCACAGTGGGTCTTCTGGACCCAGACCTGAGTAGTGTCAAACGACTACATTTCCCAGAAGCCTCCTCGCCCAGGACCGGCCGTCAGCCTTGAAAGATGTTACCACGGAGACGAGCTAACAGATTGTACAGGCTGTCCTCAGAGGGGTGAGATGGGAGCAGGGGTCTGGGGTGGCTGGACCCTGCCTGGCAGCCTGGCAGGGGGAGGGCGTGGGTGCGGGTGGTAAGGGGGCTTCTTCTATCTGGGGGGCTTTCAGCCGCAAACTTTCTGGGGAAGTTTTCAGCGTGCGTGGGGGGAGGGGCGGGGAGGAGGAGGAGGTTCCGGCTGGGGAGGGGATCCAGGGAAGGGCTTGTGGGTGGGGAGAGCCTCTGGGCAGAGTTCAGCGTGTGGGCGGCGGGGGTGGGGGGTGGGGGAGGAGGTTCCGGCTGGGGAGGAGGATCCAGGGAAGGGCTTGTGGATGGGGAAAACCTCTGGGCAGAGTTGGGGAAACTGTAAAGCAGGACTGCCTTCCCCAAACTACGCTGTAGCTGGTGAGGCAGCCTGGTTTAAGGAATAAATAGTGCAGGTTCTGGCCCAGCTCCACCTCTGATGACGGTGTTCTGTGACCTTGGGCTCAGGGCCCATCTTAGTGGCTGTCCCTCTCTGCACACTGACACCTTGGCCTTCTCCCCTTCTGTGTCTTTCCTTACTCACCCTGCCTCCTTCTAGAACTTTTCCATCTCTTTAGGCCCTTAAGTGCATGGGTTTCAGAGCCAGAAATATACAGGTTCAAACCCCAGGTCTGCTACTTGCTCTGTGACCTTAGGCAGAGCACTTAACCTCTCTAGCCCTCGATTTTCTCCTCTGCAAAGTGGGTATTATAATTATATCTGCCTCATAGGGTCTGTAATGGAAAAACTCAGTTCAGTCTCCCACCTTCTGTGTTTCTCCTTTACTAGTCACACAGAACCCTTCACTTTTGACACTTCTGGTCACCAAATGTGTAGGTTTTTCCCCCACCAAGCAATTCCCCATGACATTAGCTGGGTGTCCTACAACTGAGCTCAATTCTGATACTACCTACTTGGAGATAGCGTCAGATCCCCCAGGTTAAGGGCTTAGTCCCACAAGCCTCTTCCCACCCCACTTCAGATGCCAATGGCAAGTAGTCGGTCCCCAGGTTACCCACAACTTCTGTCTGGCTTGGCTACCATTTGGGGGTTCCCATGACTCCCTCCTTGGGTTCTGTTAGTTTGCTAGAGAGGCACACAGAACTCAGGGAAACAATTACATTTACCAGTTTATTAAAGGACATGGTAGAGGATACAAATGGACAGGTAGATGAAGTGATACGCAGGGAGAGGTCTGGGAAGGTCCTGAGAGCGGGAGCTTCTGTCCCTGTGGAGTTGGGATGTGTCATCCTCCCAGGACGTCACCTTCCCAACCTGGAAACTCTCTGAACCCCCTACTATTGGGATTCTATGGAGGCTTCCTCATGTAGGCTTGGTCAATTATTTATTCCATTTCCACTCTTCTCTCCTCTCTGAAGGATGGGGGAGGAGCTGAAAATTCCAAGCTTCTAATCACGGCTTGGTCTTTCTGGTGACATATCCCCATCCAGGAGCCATCCAGGGGCTCACCCAGAGTTGCCGCAATAGGAAAAAAGACGAGTCTGGTGTTCTTATCACTTCGGAAATTACAAGGGGACTGGATCTTTGGTCCACCATAGTGAGGCTGGGCTCTGAAAAGGGCTTCCCTAGGGCACACAAGCACATATGGTATTTCAGTGTGTCCCGCCACATAAAGGTCCCCCACCCTGAGAGCTGACACAGAGCTTGGCCAGGAGAGTGAGGCTGTGTCACTCCCACCTGCCCCTTGTCCAGGTGCCTTAATGGCAGCCCCATTTTTGCCCTCTCTGTGTTCCAAGTTTGGTGATGTTACCTTTTTTTTTCTCTTTCTTACTATTATGAATAATTTTCTTTAAATTTAAACTTACTGGACTTCATAAATATATTTAATAGGAAACTTCATAATACTACAGTTATCCATACAGCATTAACATCACCTGCCAGAAAGAGAAGGTCACTGGCAGAATAAATATACAGAAAACAAAGCAAGGTTAGTAAGTCTGAGCTACCTGCTCCTGCGCTGACAATAGCTCTCAGTCTGTGACCTGCGTTGTCGGATTTAAAGGGCAATTTGCAAATGTCAGAAATGTGTTACAGGTGTGCTAGCACCACGTGGAGACTTTCTCCTTGATGGAAAGGAAGTTTAGGAGGGACTCGCCTCCTCCCTTCGTGATCTAAACCACCTAAAACTTCCGCCCAGGGACACAGGTGATGTTGGTGGCTCCTTCCTTGTCTGAAGTCGGCCACTCAGAGTGCATTTATTCCTCCTACAGAGACCTCATCTCTAGACAGTCGGAGACACAGCAGATGGAGGTCCTGAAGGAGAAAGTGGAGGAGGAAGAGGAGGCCGAGCGGGCCGAGAGGGCCGAGAAAATGATGAGGCCGATGGAGATGCGGAAGGAGGACACCACCAGGACGCAGGAGATGCTCAGAGACCTGGAGAGGAAGCTGTCGGAGATTGAGGTCTCCATCCCGGAGAAGCCCTCGTGAGTGCCCGGGGTGGGGAAGGTGGGGGCTTTGGCCCAGCAGCCCCAGTGAAAGTCAGACCAGGGCCAGGCAGCAGGAGAGCCGGGCAGAATGGTGGTGCCTGGGCTGGGAGGCAGGACCAGGACATAGAAGGAGGTGGTTAGGAGTGAGGGCTGTGCTTTCAGGCTGCCTGGTCCAAGTCCCCACTCTGCCCCTCCCTAGCTGTGTGATCCTGGGCAAGTCACTCAAACTCTCTGTGCCTCATTTCCCTCATCTGTTTAAAAGGGCAGCTGATAAGAATGATACTTCCCTCCTAGGTAGTGGTGAGGATTTAATGAGGACGGGATAGAGCAAAGGCAGCTAAGGTAGATGGAGGGCTCCCTGTGTGCCAGGCCCAGCCTCACGCACACTGATGGCACCCCTCTTACGGACACAGGACTTTTACCAAGGATGCTATTGACACTTCCAAGCTGCCCCTTTCCTACCAAAGCAACACGCCCAAGGAGGAACACCTGCTGCAGGTGGCAGACAACTTCTCCCGCCAGTACAGCCACTTGTGCCCGGACCGCGTGCCCCTCTTCTTGTACCCAGTGAACGAGTGCAACGTGCCTGTAAGACTGGGCAGGGCCAGGGGCTGGAGAGCAGAGGGTGGAGGGAGGTGGGCCAGGCACAGACCTCTCGTGGGTCAAAGCTTATATTTCAGGGGCAGCATATAAACTCAAATGTCCACAGGCCCCAGCAGGCCCGCTGTGAGTCACCCCTGGGGGCCTGTGGTGGCTTGGAGCCTGCACACCCCGCCTAAGGGGCAGCCAGACACGCAGTGCGGTCTCCGGCCCCCGAGGCCAGCCCTGTGCAGGGAAAAGCTGAGAAATAAGACAAAATGGGCCAGGACCCAAGCGCTGGCCTCCTTCCTTCCCGCCCTGTGACCCAGGGCACATCCCTGAGTCTCTCTGGGCCTCAGTTTCCCCACCTGTAGATGGCATGGCAGGGGATGTATCCAAGGGTTGCAAAGCAGCAGCCCATAGGCTGACAGGAACTCACAGACTGTATTATCTGGCCCACCTGGTGATTTTTCACCCTGGTATTAGCTGCCAGCATTTGAAACTCAGCCATTCCCGTCCAGATCCCTAGTCCCCTCTTCTCTGGATCTGGTAACCCCAGGCCTGCATCTGCCCTGCTGCCGTCAGTGGGGTCTGCACCGGGGCTGCCCCTTAGGTGGGGCCTTCCTCAAATTCACAGGGCGACCCCAGAGGCCTGGCCCCCAGCCCCAGGGTGGTCAAGACAGACCCAGCTCTGCTGCTGACTGTGAACCTGAGCAAGTCAGCTCACCTCGCAGAGCCTCGTCTTCCTCACCTGTCAGCGGGACCTGCCTCACAGGGCGGTTGGGGGATCGGGGAGGTGGTGCAGGTCTGGCGGCACCGAGTGGGGCGGCGGTGATCACATCACTGCACCCCGGACAGTACGGGGTTACTCTAGATCTGGGGAGAAGGACCTCGAGGGGTCCCTTCCTCCAACTCCCAAGGCACCGAGGAGGAGCCTGAGGCCAGAGAGCCGCCGCCTCCCCACCCCGAGGCCCCCAGCCTCCTGGGAGCACCATGGTCTCCTCCCGGGTGGAGCGCTCCCCCCAGGACCTGTGGTCTCTCCCTTTGCAGAAGTTCGTGAGCACGACCATCCGGCCCACACTGATGCCCTACCCTGAGCTCTACAACTGGGACACCTGCGCCCAGTTTGTCTCAGACTTCCTGTCCGCGGTGCCCTTGCCCGACCCCCTCAAGCCGGTAAGCACCACCTGGGGCTGCCGTGAGGCCTGAGATGGGAAGCCAGGCGGGTCGGGAGAAGGAGGCTTGGCCAGCCTCAGGACACAGCCCATGAGTCTGTCTGGGCAGAGAGAGCCGCTTGCCTGAGGTCACACAGCCAGCCTGGTCCCCGGGCTCCCACCTCTTGGGCTGCTTTGCCTCTTTCTGCCTTCAGAGTCTTCCTTTCAGGACTTCGGGAGGTGGGGAAGGAGAGGGAGGGGAAGGCCTGCTGCCCATGGTCCAAGGTCACATCTCTGGGCTTCTGACCAGCTCAGTCTCATTAAGAATGGAGGGAGGGAGATGAGGATGCATACATAGTGGAGAACTGAGAAACAGAGAGAAGGATGGAGGTAAAAGGTGAGGGTAACTCTGGATAACCATAAAATGACCAGAGAGCAACAGACCAGAAGCTTCTACATCCCAGACGGTCTTTCACATCAGGAAGTCCATGGCCCCTTGCAATTCTAGGCAAACCTGGATTGCACTTTATGGACACGGGATCTGTGGTTTTCACCCCGTTCTTAGCAGGCTCCCTAACCCGACAAAGGGGAGGAGCCCTGCTGGGGCCCAGCCGGCCCCCTGGCCCCGGCGCCCAGCCCTTGCTGAGCAGGGAGGGCGGGTGGGGGCAACCGGGTGGCGATGCTGACCAGCTGGCTGTGCCCAGCCCTCCTACCTGTACTCCTCGACCATGGTGCTCAAGCACCAGGAGGGCAACTGCTTTGACTTCAGCACGCTGCTCTGCTCCGTGCTGCTCGGCGCCGGCTACGATGCCTACTGCGTCTACGGCTATGGCTCGCAGGACCTGTGCCACATGGACCTGACTCGGGAGGTGTGCCCACTCACCGTGAAGCCCAAGGAGGTACGGCCGGGCTTATGCTGCCCTCAGCATCGCGCAAGACACGCCACCCTTAAAGCCGCCTGTCCCTGCCGCTTCCGCCCCTGCCCCGGCTCCATCACCAGGCAGCCCTTCAGGAGTTGATATTTCAAACCACTGATGGTTTCTCCATCTTTGGCATCTTAATACACACAGCCCATTTCTCCAAACTGGCTGCTCCTCTCCCCTTGTTGTAACTCAGTTTCGGCTACTGTGTTCCCCGCATTTGTGAATGCCGTATGGATGATACCTTAAGCCAGATTCTTCCAAATTTATCCTATGCGTTTGATAAAAATCCATCCAGCCATTTTCACATAAGGAAAATGCAGACAAACAGACAGACGTTTACTTCTTTTTATTTCCCCCTCCCAGATAAAAAGGACCTCTTAACAGTACAAAATTCACCAGCCCTCCAGCAGCTGGCGGTCGCGTTTTTTATCAGTTGACCGAGAGCAGCATAATGACCCGAGGCTGCTGTGAGCACAACACCCTTAAGTGAATTTAACTGTGGGAATCATAAAAGCATCTCTTTGCATTTGGAAAATAGCCATACTACTGGCAGAAAATGCTTTTCATGAACTGGATTGATTCCAGGACTCTGTGGTCAGGGTCAAGACCCAGTGGGTGTCTGCAGCTCAGGGCAGAGGATCCAGGGGCCTGGGGCATCCGGCATGATGCACACGCACCTGTGTTACACCTGTGTGAGCACCTGGGGCCCCCGGGGCTGCAGTCTGGTGGAGAAGGAGGGGGAGGTACCGGGTGAGAGCCCTGCCTGCTCTCTCAGGGCCACCTCCCCAAGAAAGATGGAACAAAAAAGCTCCTTCACTGCTTTTGGCTCCAAAGGCCTGAGAACTCACATACGGGCCTCTTAGCCCAAATTTTAATTATGAAAACGATATCGATAGCTAATGGATGCTGAGAGCGTTCCAGTCTATAAACAACTCACATGCCCATTGACTTGGTTGCTCCTCTCAATAGCGCTGCGTGGTAGGAGTTATCACTTCTCTTTTACATATGAGTGTGTCGAGATGAAACAATTTTTGTGACCAAAGTCACATAGCTGGTAAATGGGGACCTGGGAGCTAAGGCCCAGCCTGTCTGACTCTAAACCACGGAGATTCACTATTTCTTCCTCATAATAGGCCCCCTTATGCAGCCTCTGTGGTGTCCTTTCCTGGACATTTTTCTTGCCACCTAGCACACATTTGTATACATGTGCGCGCTCGTGCGCACACACACACACACACACACGCACGAAGGCTTTGTTCTCTTTCCTAGCCCAGGAAACTCTCACTTCAAGTCAACATATGAAATCCTGCAGTGACAAAATCTGGAAAATCTGACTCCGGGCAATTTGCCCCACTTTCTAGATCAGATCCAGATCGTAGCTAGTCTAGGCCGTGGGGAATGAAGAGCGGAAATCGCATTTCCTGAGCTCCTGCCCGGATGGGCAGCTCAGACGGACATTTTCCTGTCTTTACTTGTCAGAATAACCCTGGGGAAAATGTTCTCATTATTCTCAGTGACTTTTACAGAAGAGCCTGTGGGTAGGGAAGTGGGAGGACTGGCCCGTGGTCACAGGTCTGGAGCTGAGGCTCTTTCTACGTTCAGGGTCAGAAAGCCAGCAGGCTCCGGGAGCAGCTGTGCAGGCAGGCCGCTAAGGGCTGCTGACCCTTTTTCTCTTGTTGGGTGACAGATGGTCAAGGAGGAGGAAAAGGCACCACCTAAGAAGTACGCTGTCAAACCGCCCAGGGACCTGACAAGCAGGTTTGAGCGGGAGCAGGAGGTTAAAAGGCAGGAGGGAGTCAAGGCCGAGGAGGAGAAGCGGCTGAAGCAGGGGGAGCTCCTCGCGGTGGGTCCGCCATCCTCAACCCTCAACCCTTGAACTCAGCTCCAGAAGGAGGGTTGCTGGGAATGGAGAAACAGACACGGATCACGAAGGGATGTGTTTATGGGCCCCCAGGTCCAAATCCCCTCCTCCAACCTTCCACCACCCCCCATCTCTGCCTGGCCTTGTGGGAATCCCCAGTGTAGTCAGCCAGCTTCTGGTGACAGAGTTCTAACATCAGACAGCTCTGCCGCCTGAAGCAACTCATTTTATGCTGTGCAGTTTTGGTGTCCTTGTTCAGACTCTCACTGAAGATTTACCTACATACACTCTACATCCATTCTCCCGTCCTTCCTTCCATCCATCCATCCTCCAATCTCTCCTTCTATCCACCCACACTCGCATCATCCCTCTCACCTATTTTTCCTCCCTCCCTTCTTTCCTTTCCTTCCGTATAGTATTTATTGAGGGTCTACTCTGGTCCGGGCCCTGGGGATGCAATAATGAACATGGCACAGTGACCCTTTGCCCAGAGGGATGCAGACAATGAAGCCACATGGTGTCCCTCTATCTTTCTTTGGATGAAATCTCACCCAGAATCACAACATGGAAAGACAGTAAATCCCAGATACCCTAGAGCTCTAAAAGGTCAAGTTTGTAAACCACAGGTCGAGTCAGATCCTCCCATTTTATTGATAAGAAGATGGGTTCAGAGGTGGGGTGATGTCCTTAAGGCCACAAAGCCAGCCAACAGTGCGGTGTGGATCAGCATTCAGTTCTCTCGCCAGTTCCCCAGCCCCAGGGAGATGTTTGGGCCCCTGATGGCCCCCTTCCCATCCATCTGGCTCATGGTCACCCACCTTTTCCATGCAGGAGCAGGAGAGTGCAAAGACCGACCCCCTGCACGGCCTGCGGGTACACTCCTGGGTCCTGGTGTTGTCGGGGAAGCGCGAGGTGCCCGAGAGCTTTTTCATTGACCCGTTCACTGCACGCAGCTACAGCACCCAAGACGACCACTTCCTGGGAATAGAGAGCCTCTGGAACCACAAGAACTACTGGGTCAACATGCAGGACTGTTGGAACTGCTGCAAGGTGCTGGGCGGGGCCTGGGCGGGTATGGCTGGCACAGTGGGTGAAGGCAGGTGTGACCTGTGGGGAGATCTGGCCACCAGGCCAGGAGGGCTTTGGACTTTCCCTGTAGCTGAGTGCCCAGGGCCCACTCCTTTGCCCATACATAATCGTTTCAATATGATTATTGTCGCTCTTTTGGTTTGTATATTCTTATAAAATGTGGATTGTTAGTTCATCTGATTTTTTTTAAATGTTGTATTGAAGTGCAATACACGTGCAGGAAAGTGCACTCATCCTACACGTCCAGCTCAATGAATTTCCGTACATACATACGTATAAAAAACTCAGTGCCATTTACAGAAGTTGAAAATACGCGTCCAGCTCAATGAATTTCCGTACATACATACGCATCCCAGGTCTTCCCTTTGATATTCTGGGTCACCTCTCCTACACCAGGAGCCTGATGATTGCTGCGCATGGTATCTCTCCTCCCGTCATCCAGGTGAGTGGACCAGGTGAGTGGGTAACTCAGCCTGCAAGACCCTATCTTCCCTTGTAGATACTGGCTGAACTATGAGATCCATCTGGTGGAGAAGAGTCTGACAGAGACAGTGAATATGAGTTTTTTGAAGGCTCTTGTCAAGAACATCAACACCAACATCTCAGAAGACCTGCACTTCTCTCTGACCCCCTCTCAGGTGAAGGCTTCCCCCCATCCCCACTGGCTGGTCCTGGTCCTACTTTCCTCAGGCATATTTTTCTGAGAGAGTCATGGTCTGTGCTTGGTGCCCATCAACAGTTATCCTTCCCATGTCCCATTTAGTAGTTCTCTGCCACCTGGCTGATGGGTGCTGGTGAGTTAATCGGTTGAGTGGATCCTGGTAATATATTACCCAGGGTGCTAGGATGAGACCTTCAGAAGATCACCGAATCGAGAGTCAGGATTCTAGCCCTGGACTTCCCACCACCTGATTAGGTGTCCTCCAGGAAACCCCCTCCCCTCTCTGGGCCCCTGAGTCCTCATCTGTAAAATGAGCTCGAAGGCTCCTCCAAAGTCTGAGGTTCCCTTGAACTCTTCCACCAGGGGACACATTAGAAAACAGGTAAAGGCACTTGTAGAGGTGCTGCAAAGGGTTAACGGGCAGACTCTGGGTTTACATAGGTCTGGATTCAAATCCCATTTCCGCCCCTTACCAGCTATTGTGATATTGGGCAAATTACCTAACTTTTCTGAGCCTCGGTTTCCCCATCTGTAAAATGGAGATGGTATTGCCCACTTTCAAGGTTGTCAGAGGGAGCAAATGAGATAACTCACAGGGAATGCTTGGTGCATCGAGGGCACAGCCTCCCTTAAGGCATAAAGCTGAGGGTGGAAGTTTGGGCAGCAGGGAAGTGGTCTATCGTGGAGGGATTTTAGGTCTGCCTGGAGAAGGGGAGATAGAAGATGGACGGGGCCTTTCTCAACCCTTTATCACGTCACCCCAGCAGCTGAGCCCTCTGCGTGGGGTAGGCACCGGCCTGTGAAATCAACCACATGTCCTTTTGACAAGGTTCTGGATTGGGAAGCAGAAAGTTGAGTCTCTCGGCTACAACACTTAGCGCCCCCTGTTCCAATGCCCATGGGATGCTTTTGAGGCAGGACCAGGTGGGACCAGGCTGCAGTCCCAGGGGGAGCAATGAGGTCAGAGAATGAACAAAACACGCTTGGCAACTATCAGTAAAATTTATTTTAATATTTTGACCATTCTTAGCTTTTACAAAATGTGTTGTTGTTGGGTGGGGGTGGGTATCACATTCAGTGTGAATTCTTGTGTCCTCCCTCTCGGCCCTTGCTGTCTCCCTTCCTGATGGCCTTACATTTTCCATTTATCCCTGAGTTGGAAAATAGACACTGTCACCATAGCCGTATGTCAGCACAACGGGGGTCAGGACCCTGGCCAAAAGCACCACAACTGACCCTCTCTCACACTTGCAAACTGACCTGTCCAGGTGTCGCCCCTTCACAGCCCACTTTCAACCTGATGGGTGGCCACGCGGGCATCTTACTGGCTCCATTCTCCATATTGGGAAAACCGAGGCTCCACAAGGCTGTGATTTGGCCAGGAGCTCACAGCCTGGACAGAGCAGGGCTTGGACTGTGCCCCCAGGTGTCCTGCCTCTCAGAGCTGTCCTCGGTCCTCAGGCTGCCCCACCACCCAGCATGCCTGTTTTTCCTTCCATCTGGGGGAGGGGTGGGCAGGACCTGTGTTAGGGGCTGGGCTCCTCAGGGAAAGACAGAGCGGCTGGGTCTGTGGTTGCAGATTCCGAAGCAGGTGACAGAGGACGAGCACCGGCACCCTGACAGAGTCCGGCTGCCCAGGAGCCTTTTTGGATCCTTGCAGGGCAACAGGCCAGTGGTTCGGTTGGCCATAACCATCCTGAATGTTGGTTCGGGGAATGTCTTCAAGGTGAGGAGAGGCTCAGGGTGGCTGAGGTTCCATGCTTGGTTAAGCAGGACATGCTTGCCCTCTCTGGAGTCTTTGCTGAGGGGCCTGATGGGGATGGAGGAGGTGAGGAACCTCTGGAGTGTGCCTAAAGCAGCCGAGGCCATCCCAGACCCCTGTCTCTAGGGTCTGTGGACCGCGGGCTCACGCCGGTTATTCACACTCCGCTGTTTGGACTGCCCACACCTGTGCCCTTGGACTCCTGTGTGTGTATCCCAAGTGTGTTCATGACCCCTGTGTGGCCTCATGCATGCACAAACATGTATCTCCTTCCTTATTCCTGGTGCGCACGTAATCATGTGTGCTGGTGTGACCATGTTCACATGAGCAAGTGTACCCAGGCCCTTGCAAATTTGTACCAGGTATGTCCCCAGAGGTGTGTCTCCACTCCCATGGGGACATGTGTATCCCTGAGTGCTGGTGTGGGCAGGTGCTCCCCACCTGTAGGCACCACTGCCCTCCGTTTCCCGGCTGATCTTCCTTCTAACCCTGCACTCCAGTTAAGAGGGCGGAGGAGGCCTGGAGACCAGCAATGGAGAGCCATCAGGTACACGGCTTTGCGGCCATTTGGCCTGGAGGGTAGGGCCCGCCCTGGCCCAGCTGGAGCAGACTACAGAGAGCAGCAGGAAGAAGGTCGCCCATGACTCCCTGCCCCCTGTTCCCCCGGCCCCAGACTTTGCCCTCCAGGCAAGGGCCACAAGCCCTAGCGGCTCCCAGGAGCCCTGAGAAGGGCTGGGCTGGGGCAGTCCCTTGTGCAGCCTGGCCTCACCCATGTCCCTCCACAGGGCCCCCGGCTCAGCCTAGAGGATGACAGCAGCGTGTTGAACAATCACGTGGTGGGCTTGAGTTTGGGTCATATAAATGTCACCGGCCTGGCTGAGCCTTTGGAGATCACCTTCTCCCACCAGCACCAGCCTCCTGTGAGTCCCCCACCCTGGCCTGGCAGCTCCTGAGGGGCAGACATGTGGGTGGGCACCCCTGGGCATAGGGGCAGACACACACGGACTCTGCACACCCCACGCTCCCACAACCACCTGGGTTTACATAGGTCTGGATTCAAATCCAGACACACAATTGTGCCCAGGGACACATGCCCACCCTGTGCACGCATGTCTCCACGTGCCTCCCAGACTCCCTCCGCTCCTGTGCTCATAGAGATGCCCAGGGGACCTGGCAAACACACGTGCACGCGCATGGCTGCCCACACACACGCTCCCCTAAAGGCATGTGCCTGCAGACATGCGCCCCTGCCAGCCACAGCCCCACGCCTCTTCACACCCCCGACATGCTGACCCAGGATACATCAAACGCTTCGCGTTCCTGTGTGACCACAGGCTGAGACTTGCTTCTACCTAATGCGTGCCTGTGCTGAGACCCAGAGCACACTGTCTTCTCCCCCTTCCCGTCCTACCCTCCTCTGCCCTCTCCCAACTTCCCCTGCCTCGCCCCTGACTCCCAATCTCTGGTTTCAGAACGTGACCCTCAGCTGTGTATTCTGGGACGTGACTAAAGGTAGGGCCTGGAGGATCTTCCCTGGGTAAGATGGGCGGAGGGTAAGGGCTCCTTAGGGGACAGGACTCCAACCGCAGGGCCCCTCCCCTCTTTCTTTCCTCTCTGGACCCCTCTCTTCCCTTTCCCTGCCTTCCCCTCTCCTCTGCTTCCCTATATTCCCGGCCCCTCCCCTAGGCTCCCTCTCCTCCCCAGGGTCGTCAGGAGACTGGGCTTCCAGGGGCTGCTCCACAGACGTCGGAGTCAATAGGACCATCTGCCGCTGTGACCACCTGACCTTCTTCGCCTTGCTGCTGGTAATGTCGTGCCACCCCGCCCCCCCGCCATCCTAGCAATTCTGGAAGTGCCAAGGCTCCCGGCCCAGGGAGGACGCTGCCTGGCCTGGTCTCCAACTGATAGGATTCTTATTTGCGGGGATCGTCCACAGAGGCCGATCTTGGACCAAGTCACCGTAAAGGCCCTCACACGCATTTCCCAGGCTGGCTGTGGAACCTCCATGATCTTCCTGGCCTTCACCGTTGCCCTCTACGCTTTCCTGAGGTGGGTCACCCCATCCCCACCCCACATCTCCCTCCTGCCCTCAAGGGCGGCAGCAGGGCAGGGTAGAAACCAGCAGGGTAGCGTTAGTCGTGCAGCACTATACTGATATTTTCTCCAAACCTCCGTTTCCTCACCTATAAAATGGGATTGGAGGTTGAAATGTGTCTGACTATTTCAGTTACAAGTGGCAGAAGCTCAACTCAGATTGGCTTAAACATAATAGGTAATGTGTGGTTCACAGAACTGAAAAGCCCAAGGTGAGCTCACTTCAGGTGATGTTGGATCCAGGGGCTCAAAAGATGTCCCCAGGACTTGGTGTCTGTCTGATTCTCAAAACTTTGCTTTCTCCTTTGTCAGTCATGTCAGGCAACTTCTCCATACTCAGGGGCCTTGGGGAGCCCCAGGCTTGCATCATAGCTTCTTAGCTGCCTGGACAGCTAATATTCTAAACTAAGGCCCAGAATTGAAGTTTCTAAAAAAACTTTCTTGGACTTCTCTGATGGCACAGTGGTTAGGAATCCGCCTGCCAACGCAGGGGACACGGGTTCGAGCCCTGGTCCGGGAGGATCCCACATGCCGCGGAGCAACTAAGCCCGTGCGCCACAACTACTGAGCTTGCACTCTAGAGCCCAAGAGCCACAACTACTGAGCCCTCATGCCACAACTACTGAAGCCCACGCACCTAGAGCCCATGCTCCGTAACAAGAGAAGCCACCTCAATGAGAAGCCTGCACACCACAATGAAGAGTAGCCCCTGCTCGCTGCAACTAGAGAAAGCCCATGCGCAGCAACAAAGACCTAATGCAGCCAAAAATAAAAATACATAAATAAATAAATTTAAAAATTTTTATTTTGAAA